CAGGTCAGAGAGGCAGCTGTGAAGTTTAAAGCAGGGAAAACAAGTTTTCAGACTTCAGTCCATCATCTGGACATGGAGAGACGGTGGGAACATCTCAAACCAACCAGTTATGACTTCCACTTACTGGCATGGCATTGAGAACATTAAGGCAATACAAAACTAAAACAGAACACCTCCATAAACATACCATCCCCACCACTAAACGATCAGGCTGAGAGGAGGGTGGTCCGAGTCAAAGGAAAGACTAGATAATTATTTAATAAAACCTTTTAGATGGTTAACAACAGCTAAGAGATGCTGGATGTATAAGGGCAAACATCAATATATTAATGCCTTTTTAATGTGCTACATATCAACAGATTTTATAATTAGTTTATCACATATTAAAGTGTGGAAAAGGCAAATCATAGCAAATTGCTTTAATTGTAAAGAAACAATTCGAACATTTCCGTTGCATCATCTGATTTAATGGTTCCCAGCTCATTCTCTGGGGCCCTAAAATTCCTCATGGTTCTCGGAGGCTTGTCAGCATCAGGTTTCACTTTTACATACCAGCAAAGGAAGAGACAGGAAACAAGCAGAGAGGAACATGGTCTAAATCATCCAGCGGATTTGTTAACGTTTTCCTTTAAAGTGTTGCATAGATCTCATAAAGAGGATAAAAGAAAAAAAACAGTAGATGGTTGAAGAGCATCATAGAACATGGCTATAAAAACAAGTTTGAATTCTGGTTCCTTGGAAAGATAAAACTTCAGATTCACTTTCTGTTGCTGAAAATAAGATCAGAACAAAAATAAGTTGGCATAGACAGTTCTATAGTAACTGAGCAGCCATTTGCCGCAAACATGGGAAGCTTAGAAGGAACAGGAGCGGATGTTTGCTCTGTCTGAGCTACTAGAACATAATGTTCCTGGTTAGTCCAGGTCTATTCTTGTCATGAACTTGGCAATTTTTTACTTGTGTAAAAAATCCCTCACATACACATACATACACACACATCTGCCTGTTACCCAACATCAGCATTCCTTCATTTCCAGAGAGGGATGTTGCAAACCGTTCTCGTTCACTAACATGTGATAAACACTTTCAGTTCTTTTTTAAAAGGGCTGAGAGATTAATTCAATTTGTTTTTGCAAATTTTTGGAAAATCTCGGCTATTTTTCTGAAACTAATCCTCTCTTTGGGCTTCCATAGCTCAGAGAGACGGCAGTTCATTCCTCTTTGTTCTCAGATGTATAATTATAACTGATAAAACAGCTCTGTGTACCACCATCTGCAAACATTTAGTTTGTAGTTGTTTCCTTTGTTGTGAAGCATGATTTTTATGCTAGCAGGTTTAATTATTTATTTATTTATTTATAATTATTTACATCATTTATTCATTAACCCTTTCTAGAGCACTCAGTTAAATCCTTTGAAAATCCAAATTTCAAGCCAATAGTGTCATTGGAATCCAGGACAAGACCTTATTACCTTTGTTACATTCAAAAGATATGGATATTTTGATGGCAAACATTTAGGACAGTGTAATAACAAGAAACGCCAACTTGCCCAAATATGTTAAGAAAAATAACAAAAGTGATTCTATAAGAAATTCATAAAAATACTCGGAGTGAAAGAAATTTTTTTTGGTCCATCATAACCTTAGAGGCATTAATGCTGATACTGGCACTGAGTGTCATGAGTTTACTAAAGTTCAGACCCAAATGCAGAAGACCAAACAGGGAGACCAGGAGAAAAGGTTTAACAGGTTTTATTGAAGAGATCATGCAGAGAGAAGTGTTGCTCAGAACACTGCTCAACCGGAACTGAAAAGCGAGAGGAAGACACAGCGAGTTCAGGCTCAGTGGGAAATTTGATTTGTGAACTTGGAGAAGAGGATTTGGTTGCTGACTCATGTTTCCAGAGAAGTTGTTGAATCTTTGACTCCAGTCTGTATGCTGTAGTTTCAGTGTTTGTCTGATTCGGTGGAGGGCGAAACAGGGTTTACCCAGAATGCACTTGTTTGTAGGTGAACGGAGAAGCTGACTGCCACTCAGATTTCCTGCAGTACTTGAATGGGTCATAGTGGAGATGAATCCCTTTCTTAGTGTGAAGCTCAAATGATCTCTTGGGGAAAGTGGGTCCAAACCTCCTGTTTGAACCCCAGCTCAGTTTGAAGCTCAGTTGATCCTTCCAGGGAGTGAAGGTCCAAAAAATCCAGTTTGCAGGATGACTTCCTGCTGAGAGGCAAAAGACAAACAATGTTAAAACTCAAGTGGACAAGAACTCAGTTTGACTCAGCTAAACTCAGCTTGGCTTGAGTACCCAAAACTGGCAAACTCTCTAGCATCGAGGTAGTGGCAATCAGCTGCTTAAGAGCACCCCCTTAATGAGGAAACCATCAGCAGGTGTGTGAGGAGGCGGACCAGAACCAGGCGCCTCCTGGTGGATGAAGGGAGACAAACACAGAACACAAACATACAGACAGGAGTCCTGACATTGACATTTTTTAGTTTATAAACCTAAATATAATTGTTAAATAGGCTTATTAACTTTTTAATTAGCTTTTTACCTTTTTTTCTTGACCTGTTAACTTTTTTTTTTCCAAGTGTCAGGCTCAAAACCTTGGATCCAACATTCAAACAGACAGATTAGAATGAGTTCAAACAGTCTGCGTGCGGCAGCTGATCAGCTGGAGCGTAAATAACGGATCTGCAGCTTTTAACTGAAGCCACTTCTTGCCATCATTCAAACACTATGTTTACGTGTTAATAAAGCAGTTTTTATGCTTGAATTCTACTGTGAAATAGAATCAGGACACTTTATCAGGTTCTTCTTCCAGGTGTTCACATTCACCAAGAGTCATTTGTTGCTCTTGGTGGTGTCTCCCCCTTTTTCACTGTGGAGCCTCAACATCCGTGCTGGTTGTATAGATAACATATGATGCTAAACCTCCTACAAATAACTTCTTTATGTCATTTTTTGCCACCAGTTATTCTGTGCTGGATGATTTCCGGGGACATTGTCCTCTAATGTAGCTTTGCCTCATCAGTTCCTGTTTAGCTGCGGCTCCATCCTGGGGAGAAATATCAGCTGTGCTGCTGCCATCAACACTTTTTTTTATAGATGTTGGAACTAGGCCTGTTTTTTAGTGTAGTCCTGTTTCTCTGACTCTGACTAACTGGATGAGCTGGCTTTCATCCTCTGACATGGGAGCTGGCTCGGAGCTCGTCTGCCTGGCTGTGTGTTTCCTGGACGGGGCCGCTTGTGGAGCTGGTTGTCAGTTCCCTTTTGTATCTATGCTTCTTTTTCTATGTCTGCTTCTGTCTCCTTGAACCCCAGTCGGCCTCAGCAGATGGCCGCTCACACTGAGCCTGGTTCTGCTGGAGGTTACTTCCTGTTAAAAGGGAGTTTTTCCTCTCCACTGTCTCTCCAAGCATGCTTAGTGTGAGGGATTGCTGCAGAGTCAATGAGTCGATGCAATCAACTGGTTTTCATTAGATAGAAAACTTCAGTCAGAGTCAATCTGACTGGATGATCTGTTGAACTGTAAAGTGCCTTGAGATGACTTGTGTTGTGATCAGATATATAAATAAATTGAATTGAATTAATGCAGTCATACTTTTTGCTGGTTCCTGTGCTAAGTGGTTATTGTCTCTGTGGTGTCCCTCAGTCTGGCCCTTGGTTGGTTGGACATTTTTATCCATTTTGCTGTTGCTCGTAGTAAGCTTTATCCATCTGGGTTTGACATATGTCATTTTCATGATCACTCTAATTTTGATAATTTTTCAGGAGCCTGTTAGTGTATTTTTTCTCCCTAGCACTCTCTTGCCGTTTGCGCACCAAGTACCAGAGCTGGGAAACAGGCTCTCTCTCTGGGTATATAGAAGTCTCTAGGAAGTTCTGAAAATGAGCAGGATGCTATAGGATAATGAACAGCCTATAAACAGTCACTGTTGAGCTGCTACAGGATACTATAAGTATTTGTTCAGGATTAATCCAGCTGAACTTCTTCCTGGTGAAACATGGACCAACAGTGTGTGTTGGTGGGATCTGTTGATCTGGAGCAGGGCCTCTGGCCTAGACCTCCTGCGATCCACTATGACCTCCTGCTCTTACTGGTGTTGTTCTTGGAGCACCAGTTGGTAGTGAGATGGTGTGGTCATTTCCCCTTGCTGTTGCTGTGACAGACCTGTCATCCTCACCACTTACCTGTGGTCCTGGCTACTATCCAATATAACACTTTCTATTATTATATCAAAGTCATTGTAATATCCTCGTGGTAAACCTCATCATTTGTGAAGTGTGAGGGTTCTGATTTATAAATGACTAAGATTCTGCAAACCCAGATACATGATCTGGATGCTCACATGACCAATAATTGTGTTGTACTGCAAAACATTTTCATTTTTCTTAAAAAAAGTGAATTTTTATTGATTTGTGGAGGTGAGACACTTTGTCCTTGGAATAAGACATTTTACATATAAAATAAGAAAAAAAACTGTAATCTCTTATTCAAAGTGCATATCTAAATATCTGGATATCTAAGTACGGTACGACTACTTATTGGCAGATCATCTTATTTACCTTAATTTAGGACATTTTTAGTCATTTTTAGATCTTTTCTTTTCAGTGTGTATGATTTAGAAGGAGATAGTGGTCTGCGTTGGGTCAATGTGGTTCACTTTCATAACTATGAGGTTGAATAAACATATTAAAGTGGATTCCTCTTATTCTGGTGGTTGTATGATGGTGTAAAGGCTATTTTATTGGCTCACATTTGAATCCTCCTGATTCTCAGTAGAACAAACCGCCTGTAGACTGTGGTGCAGATTAAGATTATGGATGAACAGCCAGCAAATCTACTGCAAAAACACAAAGGTTTTAAAAAACATTTTCATTTTATTTCTGGGTTATTTTTCTCATCTTTGAAGCGTAAGCACTGTTATTGTTGATGTGCACAATAGTTCAAAGTTATCCTTAATGGTGTCTTGACCTATTAAATCTTTTTTAACCAGTAACATGGTGCCTGAGAGAGAAGGATCACCTGCTGAATGCCGATGGGCTCGTCTTCCTAAATGGGTGGATATTGAAACAGCTGCGGTGAGATCTCAACACTATCAGTTCATCTTTTCATTTACCATACATGGTGTTTGTTTCTTTGTTTTTTTATTCATCCTTCATTCTAAAGGTCTCTGTTTCTTTAATTATTTTTAACCGAGATAAGTCTTTTTAGAAACTTTCCCCCTTTTTTGAGACTTTAAAAATCAGAGGTTTGCAGATAAAAAAAACCACCCAATAAGAATGTGTTCTCAGTCTGATAGTGCTTGTTGAATTAAGCTGTGTGATGCTGATGGACTCCTGCCATTAAGGATTGAACTCCTGCAGTTTAACAGAGAGCTGTTCAGTTGTCCTTTGCACTGTGAGTGTTTTCAGTCAGGTGTGTGTGTCTCCAGGTGGTGACCATCCTAATGGGGATTTTCCAGCTGCTGCTGTGTGCTTCACTCATCCAGACTAATAAACTTATGTCCAAGTTCTTCTTCCTTTTGCCTCTTGTGATGGGAATAACTGTAAGTACATCATGGGAAAAAATCTGCTTCAATATCTAAAATAGAATTATGACTCTTCGCCCAGTATACAGGTAAAAGCCAGTAAATTAGAATATTTTGAAAAGCTTGATTTATTTCAGTAATTGCATTCAAAAGGTGTAACTTCTACATTATATTTATTCATTGCACACAGACTGATGCATTAAAATGTTTATTTCATTTAATTTTGATGATTTGAAGTGGCAACAAATGAAAATCCAAAATTCTTTGTGTCACAAAATTAGAATATTACTTAAGGCTAATACAAAAAAGGGATTTTTTTAGAAATGTTGGCCAACTGAAAAGTATGAAAATGAAAAATATGAGCATGTACAATACTCAATACTTGGTTGGAGCTCCTTTTGCCTCAATTACTGCATTAATGCGGCGTGGCATGGAGTCGATGAGTTTCTGGCACTGCTCAGGTGTTATGAGAGCCCAGGTTGTTCTGATAGTAACTCTTCTGCATTTTTGGGTCTGGCATTCTGCATTTTCCTTTTCACAATACCCCACAGATTTTCTATGGGACTAAGGTCAGGGGAGTTGGCTGGCCAATTTAGAACAGAAATACCATGGTCCGTAAACCAGGCACGGGTAGATTTTGCGCTGTGTTCAGGCGCCAAGTCCTGTTGGAACCTGAAATCTCCATCGCCATAGAGCAGGTCAGCAGCAGGAAGCATGAAGTGCTCTAAAACTTGCTGGTAGACGGCTGCGTTGACCCTGGATCTCGGGAAACAGAGTGGACCGACACCAGCAGATGACATGGCACCCCAAACCATCACTGATGGTGGAAACTTTACACTAGACTTCAGGCAACGTGGATCCTGTGCCTCTCCTGTCTTCCTCCAGACTCTGGGACCTCGATTTCCAAAGGAAATGCAAAATTTGCTTTGGTCAGAAAACATGGCTTTGGACCACTCAGCAGCAGTCCAGCTCTTTTTTTCCTTAGCCCAGGTGAGACGCTTTTCGAGCCGTTTCTTGGTCAACAGTGGCTTGACACGAGGTATGCGGCAGTTGAAACCCATGTCTTTCAAGCGTCTCTTGGTGGTGGATCTTGAAGCACTGACTCCAGCAGCTGTCCACTCCTTGTGAATCTCGCCCACATTTTTGAATGGTTTTTTTCACAATCTTGACTAGGGTGCGGTGATCCCTATCGCTTGTACACTTTTTCTGACCACAGTTCTTCCTTCCCTTTGCCTCTCTATTAATGTGTTTGGACACAGAGCTCTGAGAACAGCCAGCCTCTTCAGCAATAACCTTTTGTGTCTTTCCCTCCTTGTGCAATGTGTCGATGGTCGCCTTTTGGACAGCTGTCAAATCTGAAGTCTTCCCCATGTTTGTGTAGGCTTCAGAACTGGACTGAGAGACCATTTAAAGCCCTTTGCAGGTGTTTTGAGTTAATCAGCTGATTAGTTTGTGGCACCAGGTGTCTTCAAAATTTAACCCTTACTCAATATTCTAATGTTGTGACACACGGAATTTTGGATTTTAATTTGTTGCCACTTCAAATCATCAAAATTAAATTAAATAAACATTTGAATGCATCAGTCTGTGTGCAATGAATAAATATAATGTACAAGTTACACCTTTCGAATGCAATTACTGAAATAAATCAAGTTTTTCAAAATATTCTAATTTAATATTCTAAAATGGCTTTTACCTGTAGAGCAGTTTAGCTAATTCATCTGTATTGATTTATTAGCTCCACCAAGGAGGTTATGTTTTAGAAGAGTTTGTCTGTGTGTACAGGATAACCTGAAATTTCATTGGAATCTTTATTTAGAGGTGTTCCTCATGCCAAGGAATAATCCATAACATGTGGTGATGATTTGGATTATAATATGTGTAAAAGAAAGCTCTATATTTACACCTCGAAGCTTTCTCTCTCCAGAAATGTTATTAAAAGAGATTAATTTTATAGTGAATAAGTATTAAATAACCATAATGTCAGCTTGAGATGAGGTTTGAAGGAGGACCCAAATGCAGAGATTGAAGTTGAAGGTGTTTTCTTGCTGATTTATTTAAAAGGTGGCAACAGAAGCACAAATCCATAAACATGAATCCACTTAATCCACAAAATAGTAAAAAATCAGGAATGAGAAGGGCAAATAAATGACGACAAACCAGCAACAGTGACTGAGAAGGAGGTGCATATATGGGAGAGAGACACAAAGACCAGGCTAATCAACAGAGTGGGAGCAGGTGTGAACAGAGGAGTCTAGAAGGGAGCTAGGGAAAAGGAGACTGACACAAGAGGGCAAACAAGAAATACCTAAAAACTCAATTACAATCAAAAATAACTAGTAAACTAATAAAACCAGTGAAAACTCAAAAAATAAATCTTAAACAGAACCAAAACCATGACACATAAGACATGAAAACAGTTGCTTAGAGTTATAGAAGGCAGCTGCTTAACAAACGGCACACTTCTTGTGAAGGGGTGATTCACAGTTATAGAAGCATTTTATGCAACTCCAGTCTGCTACATCATGACATCATCACATCATTAGATCATACATGTTAGCAGATGAGGAGACATCCATGGCTCCAGCCTCATCAAAATATTACTTTTTTTTTAAATCAAGGATGCCGCTCTCATTCCATTCCCAAATCTTTGCCAGGTACAAAATGAAGATGATCTTTTAACCTGACAGAGGAACTGTCCTAATTAGATAAACTATTTGGAAAACTTTCTGGTGAAGATTCTCAGTCGTCCAGGTCACAGTTATTCCAAAAAAGAAAGGAAAAAATCAGAAAATCAGAAATAGCGTTGAGCTTGAGGCTTTATAGAGAGGACCAAAAACACCCCGGGTTGGGCTAAGAAAACATGCAAATTGAACTGGAAGAACGGGTCCACCCCTTAGGAATGGGGGTGGTTTAGAGTCTTTGTTAGCCTGTATTACCCAATACCTGTTTACCCCTCTGAAAGGGGGGTCATTAGAGGGAATTGTTGGCCTGGCTGAACAGGCGAGCTGTTTTAGTCCCCTCTTTGGGGGTGGGGGTTGTGATGATAGCGGGGAGGAATCAACTCAACTGCTGCATTGTAGGTTTTTGAAAACCAGGTTTTTGACAATGCAAAAAAACTATTACTTTCAGGTCACTTTGAGCCAGCATTCCTAAATGGGAAGCTAAATGCTTCAAACTTGGAAACAAAGCTCAGTGGATTGTTTTTAACTGTTGTTGGAATACTTGGGAAAACATTAGTTTAGATGCATAACAGGCAAATATTATTACGTTTTAACAGACTCACACCACACCAATAAAAATAACCCTAACAACTGGATAGCGGATTAAAAAAAAAGTTTCTCTAACATTGTGAGACAGGGATATTTTGTGGAAAAAGTAGTTCTCCATTAAACGACAGGGTGGCAGCAGTGACTATTGACAGCCTCAGCATCAGAATGAAAAGGGACAGTTGTTTGTTTGTTAGCAGGATCAATAAAAAGCTTATTAACACATTCTATGGAAATCTTTGACCAGAGGTCCATCATGTCAAGGAAAAAATCATTTAAATTTGGTAATGATCCAGATCATGTGCAAGTTTTAGCTATAGGTGTGAGTCACAATTAGGGGCAACATTTCCTGCTCTGCAGAGGTCTGCGCTCTCTGAGAGGTTTTCTAGTTGAAGCTGGATTTTATTTATTTTTCATAGTTTCCTGTCTGGCAACATGGAAATAAGAACTGTTGTCTTAAAGCTACAGTGTGTAATAATTACAGGCATATAAAGTCAGAAATTTAATATATTATACATAACTATGTTATTTATCATCACCTATGAGCTCAGCCATTTAACCATAACATTTGCGTTGCCTTAGAATTCGTTATTTATAATTACATAGGAGCGGGTCTCGCAGCCATGGAGGCAGACATCTTTGCGCTACGGCAAGCGCAGAGCCAACAAACTAGCGATTGCGAGATCTCCCATTACGCTCGAAAATAACTACGGCAAGTTGAGAGAGATGAACTGAGACGGTACTGAACAGTAGATGGCAGTATTATGCCTGAGAAGCGTTTAGTCTGCCTGAAACCAAAGAAGAAGAAGAAGCAGGTATACTGCGCTTCAGTAACAAGAAAGGTGAACAAGGCGGCAGGCGTGAGTGACTTTGCAAACTGTTTGGCACTGTGTGGCCAAATATCAGACGAATGGAGGATCATGCCTACTCTGCATCACAACGAAAAGCGGCGGACACCGAACCCCCGTCATCCAAGAAGCGGAAACACGACGAGAATAAACGCAAGCGTGACAAGAAACGACAAAAAACACGGATCAACATTGGCACGGCATTTACACGATGGAAGTCACTGATGGAGGAAAAAGGTTTTCAAAGTGACGCTCAAGTTGCCAGTTTTCTCTTGGACAGGTAATTAATCCTACACACACAATTGTCTAATATCACTGCAGTTTTTGGAGTACAGGATGCTCAGACCTGTCTAAAAAAATAACATGCTGCGTGATGATGCTGTTACTCTCCAGTATACTTATTCAGCAACGTCCCTGACGTTTCACAGGTAATGATTCAGTAATTTTCTGTAAAATAATTTTCTGGATATATACCTCGGTTACTTCTCTCCGGCTCCTTTGGAGATCTTCAAGCCTTTCCTCCTCTGCTCTCACCCCGCTGGCACCTCTCCCTCGCCTGGCCCCAGCTGCACGCCCACCCCGGCCTCTCTGCCCTCTTCCTCTCCCTCTTCCTCGCCTTGTAACCCCCGTGCCACAAACATGACTTGGACTCTGTAAACGGGGAATATATATTCTTCCAGCGAACACAATCTCGCAGTTAAACTAGTGACTACAATTACTTCCTCTGTTTATATCACCGTGCAAAGCAGCTCACCAAAACGTCACAACGATGTAGAAAAAATAACGGGTATATTTATTATCTTAAGTCTACATGAAATCTATACCCTACACAGACTAATGAAATACTATCTGTAAAATTATCTATGTAAACAAACCTCATCACTTGAGAAGGTAGGTGATGCGGACGTCGTGGAAGACATTTTGTCCCATAACGCTCGCCGTACTGTTGGGGGGGAGAAGCGGTGGGGGGGAGACGTTCATGTTGCTGCAGTCTGACCGCTAGATGTCGCTGAAAATTACACACTGTAGCTTTAATGCCAGAAAGATCCCAACAGAATTTACGGTTTGCTCCACTCTCTCAAATTGAGTATTACTGCTTTTCGCTTTTGCTCTGCTTGATTTATATATGTAAATAGTTTTATTATGATTTATATATGGAAGAATTTATGTTTTGTGGACACTACATTGAAAAAGTAGGGGAAAAAATGGAGAAAAGGTGAAAGAAAAAGGAGACAGAAGAGAGATATTGACAAAACTCATCGTTCTGCTTCATCACCTGCAGAAAAAGATGCTAAAACAATTGCAAAACCAACTGATATAGAACTACAGATACAATACAGCAACACTTTGGTACCATCACTGAAGTATATACAGAATTAATCAATATAGAATGCATAACATGCTCTGTTCAGTTTGTCATTTGGATCCAATTGGATCTGTAGCATTGAAGGTAAAAAGCATTTTTTGTCTGGATTGCAGATTATAGCCGGTGGATCCTTTACAATGGCCAGCAAGAAGTACCCCAACAAACTACTGGTAATGTAGCTTTTTCTGTCTGTATTCAAATATATTTGGTAGCAGAGCATGTGAATGGAGCTGAGCGCCGCTCAGTTCCTGCTCCCCGCTCAGGAGGATGTTCGCCCATTCGCTCCACTGCTCAAAGTTGCTCCAGGACGCTTAGCTTAAAATTCGCTCCGCTTTCACCTTAATTTTCCTGCCACTCCAGCCAAATTGCTCCATGCTCAGATGTTCATAAAGAGACTCCACAAGCATGAACATTGTTTCTTCAGTTCATCAAGGACATAAATTTAGTCAGATAAATACTTCAGACAACCGTTTCCCATCCATACCAGAAACAGGATGTGAGAACCTTGAACAGAGTGAGGACAGTCTTTTCTAAACTAGGGAGGAAACTTTCTTCTTCTCAGGCTTCTAAATAATCACCCTATTCAGGTAGAGAAAAGGCAAACTTTTAAACATTTTATCTCGCAAAAAGGCCAAGGAAAAATATGATTCCACACTTATTTAACTGGCTGTTAGATTATCACACTGTTTCCCAGCTGTGAACGTAACACCTCGCGCCAGTCATGTTGCCCCGCGTTTACTATTTCATTATTAATTTATTTTGCTAGTCTACATTAAAAAAGGTCACTTCGAATCCCATTGCAAATGAGATAATAGCGTGTAATTCATGAATGCGATCCATTTTCAAAAACAGGCTCTTACCACAAAGATAACTTTGTGTAAACCCACTCTGTATTGTTAAAATAGTTAATGTATGTTTTTATTATATTTTATCCTACTTTTTAATCACAAAATATGCAATCTCTTGTCTCGTCGATTCCGCTGTAAAGTTGAAACATAGACTATAACAAATTATAGGCACAGACTACAGCTTAGGCATTGGCCTAGGTTTTTTAAGTCAAACATGAATTTAAATAAACTTGGAGAGAAATCCTCGCACTTGCCTTTGAAATGAAAACCGCTCTGCGCTCCACCATATTTCTTCCGCTCGCTCCACCGCTCATGCTCTGTTTGCTAACAATAGTTTTTTGTCTCTTTCAAGGAAAAATAAACTATCAAATCCTTTTACTGCATAAATTCAAATGATTGAATCTTTAAATATAAGAAAATCAGTTGTTCTTTAAAGAAGTGTTTTCCAGAGATGGTGATGTGGATTCGCCAGGTCATTTCCATGCCCTGTGTTTGCTCCGCCCACTGAAGCAGGCGAGTAAGACCTGCCCAGTGAATTAGACTGTATAGGATGGACTCACACAGGGCATGGAGATGAACTGGTGAATCCACATCACCATCTCTGGTGTTCTCTCTTGGTTAGAGCAGACAGGTGAGATCACCTTCTACTGAATAAAATGATTTGCATTTAAAATAAGAAAAAAACCTCTGCTGTCATATTCTAGGTGCTTAATACCTAATTATCGTATTTTAAATTAGGGGCAAATATACCTTTGTTTTTAAGAAAAATTTACATAGATCAGTTTTACATTTCTGTACATTTACATTTATGTAAATGTTACAATCAGTGTTTGTAGCGTATATATATATATATATATATATATATATATATATACATGGGCATGTACTGATTTAGCCTATGATATTTTCTAACTTTGAATAGTGACAGCAGACTCACTGCTTGATGCTGTTTTCTCCACAGCTTCGTGGCTTTGCTTGCAGTAACATCCTCGGCCTGCTGGGGTCGCTGGTGGCCCTCTGCATTTATAGCTACTACCTCCACATTGCATCAAATTTTGATTCAACAGAGTCGTGTGGGTACAATGACCTCTATGGGTCATGTGCTCTGAATAATCTAACGGTCAGTATCAGAAAAATTTCTAACCTTTCATTTTACTCTTTTCTTTATACTCTATAAGAGGTTTTTATTTACCATGTACAATATATTCTAAAACAGTCTTTTTATTGTTGCTCCTTAGCTAAAGCAGTTTTGGTATAAGGTGTTTTTTCTCTCTCTCACAGGCCTACACCTGGAGCATGCTGCTGCAGCTGCTGATCTATGACTGTGCTGCTGTAGTTCTGCACTTCCTCTTGTCTGTCTGTGCCTTCAGAACACTTAAAGCAGAATAACACACATTTCTAACATAACCTACAACCAGATGCAGTAAAGCACATGTCAAAGTCAAGGCCCACAGGCCTGATCCGGCCCGCGAATAGTTTATCCATTGCCCTCTGGATGATATTTAATTACCATTAGAACCTGGCCCACAGGTCACGGCCGCTTGTGCTTGCTGCTGTGACTTTGCGGGCTACCGTTGCATTGTGGGGAATGTAGTGTTGGTGCTGTTGTGTTGCATGCACCAACACTACATTCCCACGGGAAAACATTGTGACCGCTTTTTAGACCGATCCAGTTAAAAGAAAGATGCAGGTGAACACCAGCATCCCCATACCAAGACTCCTACCGTTACTCTGATCGAGTCGGAGCGCTGCTTACTGGCGCTGACCTCTGCCCTGACTGTGCCGTTTGTTCACCTCCCAGTATTCTGTGCCTGGCGTGCGGACCCCACCTGTCCCTCGCTCTGCAGCGTGTCCGTCTCTATCACCTGCAGGATTAGCTCCTTCCCTCCCTCCATCCAGGCTTCTTTAATTATGGCTTCAATCAGCCTCTGCTGACACACGAGCGCAACATTTGCACAGCGCAGTTAGTGCACACCGCCTCCTTAGACAACCGACTTCAGCCCAGCCAAAACAATCCAAACATGCAAAGCAAAAGAGAAAATAAAAGAAAAACACAATCATATTTTTTAATAATATAATAAAACTTTATCAATAATATTGTTATTATTATATATATTTTTTAAGTGTTAGGTCTTGGTTCAATAGGCTATGTTCATTGCAACATATTTTAATAAACATTTAACCAGTCCGGCCCTCGGCTTGTAGCAAATTCGTTTTTTGGCCCTCGGTCTGTTTGACTTTGACATCGCTGCAGTAAAGGAAGTGAGTACTAACCCTGCAGGATGCTGTTTGAACAGATTTACTGACAGCATTTATTTTATTTTATAGAAAATCTCCTGATGTTAAATCTAAAAATTATATTTTTCTTTACATTCTTTGTTACTTTGGAATAAAATATATTTGCTCACATGAACATGTTTGCTTAAAAACCTGTATGACTAAAGTTCAATTAAATTCTAATTCCTGTTTCTTAAACTGGAGGTTATTATTAAGCTCTGTGTTTTATTGGGGATTACGTTTAGTTGCAGTATTTTGTGAATAATTATTTTCTCCTGTTTTAAATAGTGACAGATTAACTTTGCCTTTGGCCATACTGTCTTCATGTCTGTGATCGGATCAACTCGCCAACAGCACATGACAGTTATGGCTTCAATTAAGAACATTTGGCCTTTTTCTTTTTCTTTGAACAGCCTCAAGGAGAAACAAATGTGTCGAGAGTAGAGGTGTCAAAAGTATTAATGTTTATTACTCCAGAAGAAGAAATCTTACTGTTTAGAGAATCAACTTAAGCTCTTTACTCCTGTAAAGGTGTAAAAGAAGCATTTTTAAAACTGTCAGGATTTTTCTGATGTTTGATGAACCCTGAATGCACACCACACACACACACACACACACACACACACACACACACACACACACACACACACACACACACACGGAGCTAGTCTTGAAGGTTTGTTGAAAGTAACGAGTTGTGGATGCTGGTAACCAGAGGCTGTACCGAACTAGAACTGGAGGTGCAGATGTGAGCATCAGCTGCAATAATCCACAGGGAACAGTGAGAGTTCCTTAAAGGAATAGTACACCCAAAACATGATTAGCCTTCATTTTCTACTCACCCCCATGCTGAACAACACTCTGGAGTACTTTTTTGATATCTCAAATGCATCTGGAGATCTGGGAGGCTTCTTGCTGTCTGCTGACATTCAAATAATGGAGGTCTATGGTGCCCGAGGCAGAAAGGTCCATAAAAGTCCACAAAAACGTGTCAATATTCCTCCATACTGCTCGTCCAATGTATTCCAAGTGTCCTGAGTGGGTAGCATCCAGAATTTACTCGAAACAAAGTCATTTAGAATGTTTTTAGAGCATAAACAGTAGTGTATAGGATTTCCTGAAAGCGCGTTCACGACGCTACGGAAACCACGGCAGACCAAACCAGATGAAAGTGCGCATTCAGCGTCTGCTCTGCCGATAATGCAAGCGTAAAAGAAGAAATGTGCCGTTTACCTGTGCAAAGAAAGAAACAACGAAAGAAAAATGTCTGAGGACTTCAGTGTTGAGGAAGAGCATGAGTTCTTTGCTGAGCTGAATGCGCACTTTCATCCGGTGTGGTCTGCCGCGGTTTCCGTAGACTCGTGAACGCGCTTTTAGGAAGTCCTATACACTACTGTTTATGCTCTAAAAACATTCTAAATGACTTCGTTTTGAGTAAATTATGGACGCTACCCACTCAGGACACTTGGAATACATTGGACGAGCAGTATGGAGGAATATTGACACGTTTTTGTGGACTTTTATGGACCTTTCTGCCTCGGGCGCCATAGGCCTCCATTATTTGAATGTCAGCAGACAGCAAGAAGCCTCCCAGATCTCCAGATGCATTTGAGATATCAAAAAAGTACTCCAGAGTGTTGTTCAGCATGGGGGTGAGTAGAAAATGAAGGCTAATCATGTTTTGGGTGTACTATTCCTTTAAGAGACACCCTGCAGTAATCCGCTGGACAACAGAGTGAGTTCTTGGTGAAGCAGAGACCGTAATAAATCCACAGGACCACAGACAGTATGGTTTTAGTCGCTGAGCTGCTGTAAATTCCCAGGAGCAGACGAAAGAGTTCACTGGGCAGAAGGCAAAGATCCTGCAGTGGACCAACGGAAGCACAGAGCCTGACTGACAAGGTGTTGGGTTAGTAGTGACTGAACACGAACCAGCCGGGAAGAGATAACTGAGGGAGGTGTTGTAGAAAGGCTGGAAGGTGAAGTGAATATTGATTGGTGCTAACAGGTGTGACTAATTGCTGTGTGAACCATGACAAAAAACTACTTAAAGAATAAAAATATAACTAATGCAGGAAAAAATGTCCAGGCTAAGCTTTACTGCACTACCCTATTAAAGGAAAATATTTCTCCAATTCTGGATGATAACTTCCTTAGACTTCATTTTCTTAGCTTTATAACTAATGGCAACAGTGTAACATTTAAATTTGCATCATCTTGAAAAACTATCTATTTTGGTATGTTGTGAACAAGTTGGGGCAGCACCGAGTCCAACCACAAAGACATTAATATTAATAATAATACATTTTATTTCAGAGGCGCCTTTCTAGACACTCAATCAAAATGATCAAAACACAATGGCAGAAACAAAGTCAAAACACAGAATAAAAACCAATAAAAAAATACAAAGGCTGGCCCGGGGAAATTAATATTAAAGAAAATAGACAATTCTCTTTAATATTAATTCTACATTTAATTCTTTAATTCTTTAGTTGTGATTTTAAAATGGAGAGGTGAGTCCGTGTGTCTAAGTAAGGATGGTGGAGAGTTCCAGAGACGGGGGGCACAGCAGCTGAATGCTCTGCTCCCTATGATGGTCTGGATTTTTTTTTTAATACCAACGGGCCATAAAGAAACTGAGCTTAAATGGGTCAAAAAGTAGAAAGAGATAATTGCAAAACAAATGTAAGGAGTAAAAGTAAAAAGTGGTCTAAAGAATAATTACTCTAGTAAAGTATAGACAACATTTCTACTTAATTAAGGTAACAAAGTATTTGTTCTTACTTTACACCTCTGGTTGAAAGACAGAGGGTGGTCGGAACAGGTTGCATTTAGTTTAGTAACCTTTTCACAAGATGCATTTTTAGGAGTATTTTTTGCTGCACCAATAATTTTAATAACAGTTTTATTAAGTTTATTTTCTGATTACCAAACCTCACTGACTTAAGAACAGAAATATTTAACCAAAAAATACACCAAACATTAATTCAATTTTCAATTCAGTTTATTTATATAGCGCCAAATTCACAACACAAGTCATCTCAAGGCACTTTACAGTTCAACCAGATCATACAGTCAAATTGATTCAAGGTTTTCTATCTAAGGAAAACCAGTTGATTGCATCGACTCATTGACTCTTCAGCAATCCCTCACACTAAGCATGCTTGTAGCGACAGTGGAGAGGAAAAACTCCCTTTAAACAGGAAGAAACCTCCAGCAGAACCAGGCTCAGTGTGAGCGGCCATCTGCCGAGGCCGACTGGGGTTCAATTAATAAAGTTAAGCTAAAATTTATATTCTTTTTGTACACAAGCTTCTTCTCTTGATCCAACTACAATCTGCCTTGCATTGTGTTACATGTGGAGGTCAAGAAAATATACAGTAAAAACTAAATTGTCACTAGAGGTAGTTTACTCTAACATAGAATATATTACATTAGTTTTGGTTCCATGGGTTTGGGTTTGAAAAAAAGGATTTAGGGAAGTGTTAATTCTGCCTCAGTGTTTCATTTCCCAGATAATTTTACATTGGTAAGAATCTGTTTCTATCTTAAAGCACCAGAGTTTGCTTTACTCTAGATGTGCTGGTGACACTAGACAGTTGCCTGCATTGTGTTGGTGACCTTACAGCAGTTCCTCATACTGAGCATATGGAACAACAGCAGAATGAAAAACACCAGAACCAGCTTAGACAGGCTGGTGGAGCAGAGACAGAAGGGCATAAACGCATAGATCCAGGTGTTCTTTCTATGAGAGAAAGGTGAAAGATGATTTGAGCTCTGAGACAGTATTGGAGTCCAGAAAATGAATGAGAGCACAGACAGCAGCTGTAAAAGCTCTTAAAAAAAGCCTGTTTATGAGAGAAACAGGGAACCACAGGTGGCATCTATGTGTTCTGCTGGAGACGGTGGCACAACTGAAACAAGAACACCAGATGTGAATTAAAACAGAGGTCATTGTTATAGAGCAGTGAAGGGTCAAAGGAATAAAGACACAGACAGCTGAGAAGAAAAACCATCTGAACGTTCTCCCCAGACCAGGCTGGACACTCGGCCCTCCTTGGCTTCCCCAGGGCTGATCCTGAGAGGAAAGAGGTGAGGAAAAGGAACTCAGAAGTAGTTTTGATTACAGAAATCTAAATTCTACAGTACTTAGGTTACAGCTTAAAGGTATAGTAGAGAATTTTCTTTTTTCCGGGTGGATCATCTAAATCAGTGGTCCTCCTAACTGTCAATCATTCTGGTGAATTGTTTACATAAGGCGGTCCTACGTGCTCCTCCCCGTTTTCACTTACCAATGGTGAGTCTGACATAGTGGAAAAATTGCAAATTTTGGAAAGTAAGCATGTATGAGCGATGCAAACAGCAACTTTTAAAAAGAGCGTGCATGAGTCAAATTCTCCTCGTGCACGCTCTAACACATCTTTAAAAAGGTGTTCCCAATCGAGTACAGGGTTGTGCATGTGCAAGTGTAGAGGGCGGGTATTTTCAAAAATTCGCAAAAATACTCCACTATACCTTTAAGGTTTGGAAGTATTAAAAAAGCCTAATCCCTAAAGAGTTTTGTTTAAACACAAAGATAAAAAATAGAGATATACATAATAGAGAACTGCTACAAATGTACTGTTGATAAGAGTAGCATCCATCATGAATACATAGGTTTGCGTTATCATGTTGCACTGACATTTTTAATCATTATTCTGACTTTTGGGGCGTCCCAGCTGAAATATATGACTGGGAAATATACTGGTGAGGATTCTCAGTCATCCAGGTCATAGTCATTCGAAAAAAGTCAAAAAACAATTCACTGGACTTTGTTTCCAAGTTTGAAGACGTTTCTCTTCCCATCCAGGAAGCTTTTCAAATCAAAATGTCAGAAATAGCGTTGAGTTCCAAGTTTTATACAGTAGCCCAACAAATCCTTGCTTGTTTTTTTTTAAACAAAAACAGAACATCCAGACGAACGGGTCCACACCTTTGGAATGGGGGTCTTTTTTAAGCCTGCGATGCTATACTCGACAGGAATAAGGCATCCCAGGCTAACAAAAGGAGAAAAACGACCCCCGTTTCAAAGGATGGACCCTTTCGTCCGTTTCAATTTGCATGTTTTCAAAACAAATACAAGGCTTTGTTGGGTTGCTGTATAAAACCTCAAACTAAACACTATTTCTGACATTCTGACTTGAAAAAGCTTCCTGGATGGGAAGAGAACCATCTTCAAACTTGGAAACAAAGTCCAGTGGATTGTTTTTTACTTTTTTGGGGGTGGTGGGGGGGTGGGGGGGATACGACTGAGAAGTTGAAAATTTCATCATTACCAAAGTTATGGGCATAATCTATATACCTGCCTGCCTTTCTACTTCTATGAACTCACAGCAAAGCTCATGATGCTTGTTAATTTTCATCCAAACTCTAGCTGCAGCGTTTTAGCACAGATAACACATTTTAACTACATTTTGTCAACGTCTATGTAGTGAAGACCAACAATAGACCATCTTTGAAGCATCAAATGCTTGGATTAGTTTTTCAGTGTCACTTCTAGACACAATATTTCTAATGTTGGCAGATTTCCTAGGTTAAAAGAGGGAAATCTGTTTGAAATATGGGATTTAAATGACAACTTCTCATCCATGTTTTGCTGGAAATGCTCACTCACCTGATTAGCAATTTTTTCTTCTGGAATCTTTGGTAAGAGAGGAAGATTAAATGTAAATCTATTGCAGAACATCTGCCTTAATTCAATTAATCCTTACCAGGAGAGGCTTAAGTAAAGCTGCCTTAAAAGACTGATATACTATCAACTAATATTTTTAACTAAGGATAACAATCAAAGGAAACACCTCCTGATGTAACTCAACCATCATGTGTGTTTAGTTCACATCATGCAGCAACTCCCAGTAAGATTTGATCAAATACTCTCCATAGAACTACAGGATCAGTAGCAAAGATATCTGAACAAACAGATCTAAAGACAAATGAAATAAATGCTATAGAATGAAAGACACTGAAATAGAAACAGTATTAATTTTTCCTTTTGGATTAAATTTTTCAACCAGACGTACATGTAGGTTAAAAAACTGATGGGTAGCAACAATTTAACTTTATACTTACAGTTTTAGTATTCAGTAGTAGTATCACTGCAAGCTGCTTTTTACTTTCACTGGAGTAATATTCTAATTAATTATCTCGACCTTTACTGGAGTAAGATTTTAGCTACAGACACATTTTCAGACACTTGATTTAAGTTACAGGCTGACTTCTGGTTTATATGTACGTTTTTTAAAGAAAAATCGACCTGCTTAACCATTAAAACGGAGGTCGTCAACAGGAGGTCCACAGAAGTACTGCATGGAGGTCACAAAAGTTTTTGTTTATTAGACTTTTTTTATATTCCCCCCGCAATTTTTCCACTAATTGAAATGTCTTTAAATCCACATTGACATGAATTTAACACACTGTAGTAAACAGATAAATGGAGGCAGAAGATGTCTTTCAGTCATCAATGCACACATTAGCGACACACAGGTGCTCTTTCAAGCTGGGCACCGTTTCATTCACAACACCTGTCCCATCAAGCAGGAATCAGAATCTGAACTACTTTAATAATCCCAGGGAGGGATTACTTTCATTACATTACTCCATCTGTAATAGAGTGACTATAGGACCAGTTTAATATAACACAATGTCATACAATATATATAATTTGGGGGTCACCGCTCCATCTCGCCATCAGTTTGGGGGTCCTTGGTCTGGAAAACATTGAAGACCCCGGTATTAAAAGATTATGTAAATTTTGATATTACCTTTGGATGTACTTCACACTTAAAGTAACCACATTGTAAGGATTTATTTATCTGGAAAGCATTAAAGAAACAAAGAGTAAGATGTTAAAGTGGTAAAATCAATTTATTTTAGATTTGAGAAACATCCTAGTGTGCTCAGAACTTTATATTTTGAATGTCTGATAAAATACACCCTGAATATTAAGTTATCTATCCAGTACTTAAGTAACTTCGTACAAATGGGTTATTTTTTATTCTAACTGGAGCAATTTTTGGTAAGATGATGATCTTTTACTAGTGTAAAATGAAAAGGGAGGAAAAAAAGTAGTAGTAATTCGAGTAGCGCTACTTAAGTTTATTATTGGGACATTTTTACCACCTGTAGCTGCTGTTTATTTAGATCACAAATTCTTCTTTAATAACAGTCAGAGGACAAAAAAAAGATTTGCCAAACAAATAAATGATAAACATGCATGCAAATTTACACTAGGCCGTTATATGTTGTTTATAGTTGTAGTTTATCTTTTATGCAGCTTTTATAGCTCTTAAACAAACCCCTATGAATAAAGTGACTGATGCTCTATTGTTTTTTTTTATTTTTTTTAAAGCGTCTAATATGAGCTGCGCATGCGTTAGAATCTTTGGTCAGCGACCGTTCGTGTGTCAGCTGAGTATGGAGCATACCATTTTAAGAAAGGGGTTTTTCTATCGGTTCCCTAAAGTTCAGCGACAAGCTTTCATTATTATATTCAGAGGTAACGGCAAATATTCGTTATTCTAAATTTTAACACAATTGTTAACTATTTTAGTTAAACAACGCGTGCCTGATAAAAATTGTTCCTCCTTAAACACACCCCTGCCAGCTATGGCCCATTCCAAAAATGGCAGCAGTTCCTATCAGAGCAAAGTGGAACTTTCCTGTTTTTCTCCAGATTTATTCAACTGCCGGGCATCTTTTTCGGTCTACGTTGTTTTTCTTAGTTTAACTAAACATTAGCGGTCCGGCGAGGGTTCAGACAGCCACCTCGGACCGAGTGGCTCGGCTCGGGGTGTCGTGTTCGGTCGGGAGATCACCGGGCTTCCCTCGAAGTTGACGCGGCTCTCCTTTCCACAGCCTCCCCTGACAACAGCCCGCTAAACGCGGAGCATTGAGCCGAGGCTGGATATCGGCGGTAGCTAGCTAATTAGCATACCGATCGCAGACAGACAAGCCACCGGCGTCGTCAGTTTTTCCTTTAGCGGGAAGCCTTCAAGGCAGCTCGGAGATCCAGGAGACGTGTCGCGTCACTTGTCAGTGGAAACAGATCTGTGGTGTTAGATGTCAGCAGCAGTCAGAGTCACACCGACTTTATTCTGCTCATATGTAAGGAACTCTTTATTTACACATTTTCTGCTCTGGAGAAAATCTTTATTATATTACTTTGGCCTTCAGCCACTTGCCTGTGTATTGTACATACTGTTCTCTGCCGCCTGTTGGCCAGTTATTAATAGAACAAATTGCTATTTGGTTGTTCACTCTTTATTTTTACTCTATAATTAAATGATTGTTTTATTGTTCCATCTTCAATACAATTTCATTTAATAATTAACTGAGGTGTTATGACGTGTTTTGTCTTTATCAATAAAAATGTAATGAATCCAAGCTATACTTGGATACATTAATTATTATTAATTTCTAATGTGCGGCCTCCAAGTGTTCACTTTCTGTTTCCAAGATGTGGTTTAATCCCGTTTTACTTCCTGTATTATTGTTTGACGGACAGTTATCGTAGCCAATCACATGGAGAAGCTCCAGGATTTGGGCCAATCAGAGCTACAGGAGCTCCTGGACAACCCAGAGAGGGTGGAGTCTATGGCTCTGGAGTCTGATGAGGTAAAAATATAAATAAAGAGCTTTGATTCTTTAGTTTACATTGTTTTGAAACATCTCCAGATAGGGATGTATGTTCAGAAATACTTATGGTACTTATGGTAAATTTGTAAAACTGTTTAATGGTTGACTCTTAGATATACTTAGGTAATTAACCATGAAAAATAGAAATAATCAAAAATAACTTTAAAAAACACGCTTAACGGTTTTGAAGGCAAAATGTAACCATGTAATAATACACTTAATTGGAAAAAACAGACTGTAATGATAACATTTTCAGGTAAATGCTTTTCTTTGTCCTCAATAAAATCAGAATTAGAGGTTAAATTGTTCACAGAATCCGCACTTTGTTTAAATTGAACTTTTTGGGAGTTAATTGAGTTTTAGTATTAATATTCAACCTTTTACTTTTTCTAAAAACTGAGTCATAATGTTAAAAGATGAGGGAAATTCTGGATTTTATTTGGTAGCCCTGACTTCTATTTGATGTTTTCTCATTTTCTTTGGTAAAGTTTGGGATTTTACTAAAGTGTTGGCAAGAGGGAACATTAAAGCAGGGCTCGGCATGGAATGCATGTACTTGGGTCATTAGAAACCAAACTAGCTAAATTAAGTTTCATCCAGATGCTGATATTCTTTTACATTTCCTTAAAATTTCCAAATGTTTTAGTACTTCTAGAGGGCCATTTTAAGCAGTGGTACATTTTTGGTAAAGCAGCCCTCACTGCTGTGTCAGACCTGCAGACATTCTGTCCTGTTCTATATGCTGTATATTAAATATACTGTTTGGGGCCGAAATAATAATAATAATATATATATATTTTTTTGAAAAAGATTACTGAGACCTGCATCAACTATTTTAGTAATAGATCTATTGTGACCTGTATTAGGAATAGATTATACAGAGTCTAAAACATTTACTAAAAGAACAAGCTGCTTAGAGCCGGAATTAATCCAAAACTGTACATCATATATATACAGATTTTGCATTAGAGATTGAAAAAAAATCAAAAATCATCATGTGGGAGCATTTTAGTCTCATTTTGCTCACATCAGGCTAAGAAAAAATAAATAAAGCTCTTTTCAAAAACCTTCTGCTTTCTAACTAATAATTTGCTAACAGATTTATGATTATTGGTGTGATCATTAGTTGCCTCCCCAGTTCCCCATTTCTATAAACTTTGCTGTAAACTATGTTCAGTCTTGAGTCCAAGTTTCCTCTAAAATTTCATAGAAGGTTCTTGAGAGATGTGGTTCTGACTGCAACTTGCTGCTCCGGAGGTTTTCCTAAAGACGAGGAGCAGCTCAGCCATGTGAGCGAGGAAGAAACAACTCCTCACTGTGTTGTTGGAATAACAGCTCGTTTATTTGCTGTGACGGGTGGAAATGGTGACTCCGGCTGTCCGGTCAGACCTGGGTGAATGACTGACACTGTCGTTCTCACTGCTTTATGTTTGGAGTCATAAACTGGCCCTGCGGATGGAAACATGTTTTCATAGACAGACAGGGTGGGGGCCTAAAGCTTGGAGCTTTCAGAGAAGGCTGCAGGTCCCCTGGTTTAAATCCATGAAGCTGCTGCAGTCCCTCACTCCCTGGATGCTTCCTGGGTGCTGCTTCTTTAGGGAGGGGTCCAATGCAGAATGAATGTTGTGTTTTAGTCACACTTACCTCTGTTTGGGCTTTTCTAAAGGTTAAAACATGGCAGAACACATTTATGATTGTGGAAAATTACTTTCAGAATGAAAAGACAACTTCTGGATTGTAGCGTTTTCAGTTTGCATTAAGAACCATAGCTTAGCTGTGATGAATCCCTGATACTGAAACAGACTCCATGTTTGAGGTAGAGAGAAGGTTGGTTCATTAGGAAAACACGCCAACTTTTCCTTTTCCAAAGCCAATGATGTCAGCTGGAGGAGAAAAGATCCACCTTGTTAATTAAATGGAAATAGTGAATCTTTGTGCAGTAGCTGCACAGGCTGCTCATTGTCCAGGTTCTATAATTGTTATAAATATTCTGTCATGTTTTAATGGTGTTTAATGCAGCCCTATGTGGAATAAATCAGCTCTTTGTAGAAGCCTCTTTCACCACACTGACAGATTATTCTTATGTTTCTTAAAACTGCACTGAGATTGGATTACAGATGCTGAAATATGATGAGAGAGTCTGTAAACAGTGGATTTATTGGGTTGCCAAAGGCAACGCCATCTGCATCCTAATCCATGCAGATGGCTTTAAATGAAGGGGTTCTGATCAGGGTCGCTGTCCTGCTGGAAGGTGAACCTTAGTTCCAGTCCTCTGCTGCCTCCGGTTTAGGTTTCTCTCCTATATTTTCCTCCAGCCAGCTCTTGGTTCTCTGACTGTTATAAAGAATAGTAGCCCCACATCATGATGCTCCTGCTCCCATGTTTCACTTTGGGTGATTTACCAGTATGAGGCAAGACAGCTCAGTTTTGGTCCTATCTATTCAGAATTGAGCTTTTATTCTCGCCACTTTATGCTAAAACCCTGAACTCATAAAACTCCTCACTCCTGAGGACCTTTACTGCAGCTCCTTTGTGGTTTTAGTATCTGTTGGTTTAATATCTGGGCCTCTGTAGGTTTGCAGGTGTGCCGTCCTCTTTCCATGCTCAGATGGGTTGAACAGATGTCGGGGAGGAATTTAAAGTTTGGGATCATGTCTGTAAAGAACCTCTGAGGCTTTTATAGAGCAGCCTGTTTACTCTAAGAACAGATTATACACAAACTGATTGTGTTTGGATAAATCCTGATGGTAGTTAGTCACTCTGCCTTTTTAGTAAAGCTTCCACTTCACAAATGAATCGAAAAATAATAAAATACTTTGATTTGATTGAGATTTGGCCCCTAAAATGACGTCACAATACTTATTGAGCTATCAGATTGTTTTACTTTCTGACTCAGATCAAGATTCAGGAAATTCCTTGAAGCACATTGAAGTGTTTGCTTTTCTTGTTAGACTGAACAGGTTGAGATATGATGAAGACTATAGAACAAAGGAGGAAGTATTGACGCTGCAGGGTGTTTTCTGCCTGACTAAGTGTATGGAATCTCTTTGTATACCTATTTATAAGCACAGATGACAGTGGAGGGAAAACCTGACGTCCCAAAGAGACGAGTCTAGTGCTGCAACTAACGATTAGTTATCTAATTGATTAATCTGGTGATAATTTTATCGGTTAAGCTGTTAATCAGATAGTAGAAGGTTCTTTAAAGCTTTTTTTTTACAGAATAAAAGCAGGTGAAACTAAAACTAGGAGTTATGTATAGAGCACATTGACAGACAGAATCTTAAATGCTAAATATTTATATTTTTTCTGCATGCAACCTAAAATTTATGGAGAAAATTTCTCATCTGTAACCTTTGTGTCCTTCCTCAGATTCAGAATATCCAGCTGGAGCGAGAGATGGCGCTTGCCTCCAACCGCAGCCTGGCGGAGCAAAACCTGGACATGAAACCTCGTTTGGAGTCTCTGAAGGAGGCGCTGGTGGCCAGATACTCTCAGCTAGAGGCCGTCAGGGAAACCTACAGACAGCACTGCTCCCAGAGAGGTGGGGGGTCCTTCACTTTGAGCAGCCTGCCCTCAGCTTTCTGCTCTTCCTCTGGTCTCTGTCTGATATGCTGCATGTCTCATTATTCTGAACAAACCATCCAGATAACAACCAGTTAGTCCTGTTCCCTGCTGAGGCGCCGATGCTCTTTGTGTGCCACTGTTTGTCCTTAATGTATCTTGTTTTTCTATCTGTCCACACAGACGGGATGGTGGGTCAGGTCTCTCCAGAGGCCTTCTTCTCCAGACTACAGACAGAAAGTGAAAAAACCGAGTCTGAGTCCGAGGTCAGTGTTCACCACCTGTCTGACACATGTCTAGCTAAATGCAGATACAACTTTTACTAACATGATGGTAGCTCTAAGCATCAGCTCCTCATCCCATGGCTGAAACACTGTAGATCAGGGGTAACCAATTAAAAATCAGCGGGGTCCGAATAAAGAAAATCATTAATTGGTAAAGGTCCGGAGACATTTTTAATTATAATCTGTTACTTTTAACAGAATTTAACACTGAAATAAAATGAAGTGTTTATGCATCCATGTTATACAGTAATTAAAAAAAAAAAAATAATAATAATTATAAAAAATAAAAATAAAAAATAGAAAACTTTTCCATTTTAAAATCTAAAGTGTTTTTGAAGTAGAGAACAACAAACGTTCAGTTTGGTATATAAAAAATTTCTTGATTCACAGATTTTATACAACACCTTTCCATTGTTCCAACAATTTCCTGACTCACTTTATATATAAAACACCTGAACTGACTGTTTGTTATTCTTTTTCTTTCTTTTTTCTGTCTTAATGTTGGCAGTGGGCTTTAGGCTGCCCTGCAAGGCTTTAAACCTGGGTTTAAATGGAGACTAAGCCATTCTCAAGCACATATCAAGGAGCTCATTCTGAGCCTGGATCCAGATTTATTTCTGATTCTTTTAATGGTGGAGAATCCTGCTTCACAGCAGCAGGTTGAGCCAAACATCCTCTAAATGTGCAGGGTCATCTTTGAGCACCATTTCACTTTTCTTTCACCAGTTCACCACAGTTCTTCCAGCAGTCCACACTTTCTCTGCTCTCTTTTTCTCATCGTCTTCTCCTTCTTCCCCATCGCCCGGCTTGCCACAGGTTTGCCTGCTGTGTCTAAAAGTAGCAGCAGCAGCAACCCAGACTGACAGCAGCTCATTGGATCATTTGGATAACGTGTAGCCTGGTGCTAGACGCTCCGGTGGGCTTTACCGTATTAACAGGAGAAGCGGCGCAAGTGAATTTAGACACTGTCGTTGGAAAACATGCAGTAATTTAGGTTTTAAATCAGGTTGGTTCTGGATTAGCCAGCATCCGTGACCTCTGCTGTACAGCATAGTGGTGTCGGTCTGCTTGGTGAAGGAGATGATGGTTGTCCCAAAATACTCCAGACCCCAGGCTATAGCCCCATTTCCACTTCCCTTTTGAAACCGTGCTGAGATCGGTCCGAGCACGGTAACTGAGGTAACTGTTGAGTGTAAACGGCACGCAAAAGTGACCCAGGCTGCGCCAGACACAACCGAACTACGCTAACATGCTAATAGTTCTTCAGTAGATCTCGGCCTGGTTCTGGCTCAGATAAGTGTAATCAGGAAATTTCAGACATTCATAAAAATCCTAGCTTCTCTAACGTGACACATAATTTTAAAGGATGATTCTGCTTAGCAGTGTGATGAAACTCAGTGTCAGTTATTTTTCTCCTGCGTCTGTAAGCCCTGATTAGACTATCGTTTGTCATTTGTCCAGTAAATTCACCAAAGGCTGTATTCTTTGCCTGATTCTCCACAAACTTCCTGAATGTTGAGAGCGCCGCCCTGTTGGTTTGCTCGTTTCCTTATAGAGAACAGTAGTACCATAGATCGGCACTAGGAGGCGAGGAACCTTGCTAGCGCGGTGTGTAAACGGTTGTAAGAACCGAGCTCGGTACGGTTACATGATCCAAGCTTAATACGGTTTGGTTTTCAGCTGGGCTACAGCCTGTAGCTCATGGCACAGGAAGCAAAGCTCTGGCCTAGGGAGCAGTGTGTGAAGGTCCTTTGGTGGCCCAGACACCGCCTGAACCAAACTCTGGTTAGATTTATTTCTGAGGTCCTAAACATGCCAGGGCGGAACGATCAGGGTGTGTCCAGTTTATGGACATAATCCCATGAGTGGTGTGCAGATGGTGCTCCATCAAAGGCTGGGATAATTTCCTGATAAACCTCCATCTGACTTCAAATAATAGTTCTTCAGTTTGTTATTGTGAGGATTAGCAAATAGTTCTGGTGGATAAAATCGAAATGAAGATTTTTTTTAAGCTGTACACTGCAAAAATAGTTTTAAAATGAGTAAAAATACATTTTAAAATAGGTGTATTTCCCCTTATGTTGATTAGTTCAATAGGATTATCTGCCAATAGAAGGAGTATTTTTAGCCTTAAAATCATCTAACATGCAGTTGAAATAAGACAATGCAGTTGTTTCTTATTTTAAATGCAAAGGTTCTTGTTGGCAAAATGTCTCTCAATTCAAGAAAAACTAACTTATTTTAAGGAAAATTTGCTAACTTAGATTAAAAGTTTTTGTAGTGTATATATATCAGTGAAGGGTCCATTAACCTCGATGCGTGGGTGCATGCATGGAGCCCATAGAGCTAAACACTGTCGTTTCCAGAAAGTCATGTGACCGGTCAGGGAGTTGTTTCTAACTGACTGACTCACTTAAAAGTGTATAAAAACGTATCTGTCAACATGATGCATCTGCTAAAAAAAAGCCTCATGTTTTGTTGTTTTTTATTAAAATGATCCAGAAATTTGGAGTAGTCTTAAAAGGAATAGGAACGTTTCAGCCATTTTGTTTTAATTTTCATTATCTCGTTCTGTTATGCTCTTCCTCTCAGTTATCACTCACCTTATCCGAATTAAAGTTAATTTTAAATTGATTCTTAGTTTATTTACTGTTTTAAAAGTACGATTTAAAGTCCTAGTCCACAAGCATCGTCATTCACATTTTCCCCTACATTTTCCTTTTAATATATTTTCATTATTTGATTGCATCAAAAAATATCAGATATTTTCAATTTAAACATGGATATGAAATAATACAATGTAACCTGAAATAACTTCAATGATATCATTGTTCTAGGTCAGAGGTGGGCAATTCCAGTTCCTGGGGGCCAGTATCCTGCAACTTTTACAGCCATCCTTGGTTTCAACACACCTGAATGAAATGGCTGAATTATCTATGTATTCAGTCAGTTCCTTCAGAGTCCTCTCAATCATCTAATTATTTGATTCAGGCGTGTTTAACCAAAGGCACATCTAAAGGTTGCAGGAGACCGACCCTCAGGAACGGGACTTGCCCACCCCTGTTCTAGGTCATCAAATCAATTCAGTTTATGGTAGTCCAATCAGCTACCTGTAGTGTCTTTAAATGTCCAGCAGGTGTCAGTATTCTTTCAGACAGTATACCATACCATACCAACTTTATTTATGAAGCACTTTATGCACCGGACAGGACCAAAGTGTAAGAAGGACCAACTCTGCCATATTTAAAAATAAATACAGAAATAAATAAATGCTCAATAAATGTATAAGCATACAATTAATTGCCAACAAAAAAGTGAGACATAAATGTATATAACTCTTAATTAGCTTCTTTATTTATTTGCCTTTGTAATATTTACCTTATTTATTTTTCTGTCCTTTATAATCTTCAACTTTATTTTTTAATAACTTATATTTTTAAGTATTTATTTATGTGCATGTTATTATATTTTTGTCTGTTTTATTCTTCCTTTGTATTTTTTTACCTTAGTTATTTCTTCGCCGCTGTTTATTTCTCTCTGCCTTTTTACATTTCTCTCTGCCCTTTTTACATTTCTCTCTGCCCTTTTTACATTTCTCTATGCATTTCTATCTCATTATGCAAATGAGGAGGGGGTGTGTCCTAGAGAGTCAACTTCTGCTCATTGGTTGGCTTGGCTGTCCATCTTCTTAACTCACAGAGCTCAGAGTACTAAGTTAAATGTTCTCTTTTCTGTTGCTGTTGTTCAATAAAAGTACGTTTTAAGATCATTTGAGGCGAGAACCTTATACTTTTAAGCATCACCATATGGCCCATTCACAGATTTAATGCGTAATTTAAAAGAAAATGTGACAAACTTGAGAGGACCGTGGCAACCAGCGGAGCTCCGAAGCTGACGGCAGCCAGGTCTATAGCCAGGCTATGATGGCGATTTTTTGTTGTATTTGGCAAAGTTTGGCAAAGTCCCTACTCAAGTTCTAATGACTTCAGACTCGACATCAGACTCTCCTCCTGTAGATTCGACCGATGTAGTAAAATGCTAACCAACACGCTTCACACACAGTTATGCCGAGAGAGGGCCGCTGCAGATGGGCTGTGGTCGGACCTGGCTGCCGTCAGCTTCGGAGCTCCGCTGGTTGCCACGGTCCTCTCAAGTTCGTCACATTTTCTTTTAAATTACGCATTAAATCTGTGAATGGGCCATATGGTGATGCTTAAAAGTATAAGGTTCTCGCCTCAAATGATCTTAAAACGTACTTTTATTGAATAACAGCAACAGAAAAGAGAACATTTAACTTAGTACTCTGAGCTCTGTGAGTTAAGAAGATGGACAGCCAAGCCAACCAATGAGCAGAAGTTGACTCTCTAGGACACACCCCCTCCTCATTTGCATAATGAGATAGAAATGCATACAGAAATGTAAAAAAGGCAGAGAGAAATAAACAGCGGCGAAGAAATAACTAAGGTAAAAAAATACAAAGGAAGAATAAAACAGACAAAAATATAATAACATGCACATAAATAAAAACTTAAAAATATAAGTAATTACATTTATTAAGCATTTATTTATTTCTGTATTTATTTTTAAATATGGCAGAGTTGGTCCTTCATACAAAGTGCTGTACACAATCATAAAATACAATAAAATTATAAAATAGAGAAAAAACGAGTGTAAAATACATATTAGTATACAAAAAAATAAAACAAAGTAAAACCTCTCAAATTGTGCCAAAAGCCAAGGAAAAAGATAAGTCTTAAGAAGGGACTTAAAAACAGCAAGAGAAGAGGCCTGTCTTCTGCTCAGAGGCAGATCGGTCTACAGCTTAGGAGCTGCCACAGAAAAAGCACGGTCTCCTCTGAGCTGCATTTTGTCTTTGGGACCCTCAGAAGCAACTGATCAGCTGACCTGAGGGAACGGGAGGGTGTATAAGAATGTAACAGCTCAGACAGATAAGAAGGAGCAAGGCCATTAAGAGTTTTAAAAACAAATAAAAGAATTTTAAAATCAATCCTAAAATGTACTGGCAGCCAGTGTAAGGAAGCTAAAACAGGGGAAATGTGGTGGAATTTTCGTGTACCTGTTAAAAGACGTGCAGCAGCATTTTGAACCCTCTGAAGTTGGGAAATATACAAATCACTGACCCCTGTATAAAGTGAGTTACACTAACCAGCCGTGTGGTCACAAATGCATGGATCACTGTTTCGAAATGCTGTCTGGAAAGAATGGGTTTTACTTTTGCTAGCTGCCTTAAGTGGAAAAAGCTCAACGCAGAATCTGAGTGGAGTTCCAGTTTATTTCCACTAATGGCAAACAGGAAGCAGAATGAACTTTCTGTGTTTCTGTTAGTAAATATAAACTCTGATAAACTCCTTCAGTTCTCACCTAAAGGCCTATTTAACCACCTCAGCTAGCCCTAAGAACAGAGAGCTATATCTGCCTTAGCGTCCATCTCATTGAAACCAAGGTAAATATTCTGGCAGTATGTCAGAGCAACATACCCTGTCTGTTAATGATAGGGGGTGGGGGGGTCAACCCTGGATTCATGGCCTGCATCTTCCAAGGACGCGGTCTACCTAGACTGGATCCTTCGAAGTCAGTGAAAATACGGAGACTGGAAGAGTTTCGGCTGTGACTTCAAACAGGTCTACCCTTCTGCAGATTGTACCGCCGTACACTCTGTCGCTTAGCAACCGCAACAGATGACACACAAAGCAGGAAAACAATGAATAGCGAACTTTCAAAACGGTTTATTTTTATTTATTTATTTTTTTTATTGCAAAGTGAACAAAGATTACACTCATGTGTTCACCGGGAGCATGAACAAATTAAAGCAAATGTAATGATAGAAACCTTAGTCAGTTAAATAACCTGCTGCTGTCATTCTGCACATTTCTGATGTTGCTGCTATTTTCAAATATCCATCACTGTAAAAATGTCCATAGCTGCATATCTGTTATTTATTATCCAGTTGAACAGTTTTGAATCGTTAAAACACTTACAGAATTGTATTGTTTATATTTTAACTCTTCACTATTATGTTATTCCTATACATTTTTCTAAGGTCCACATTTGTGAAACCATTTTCAATAATCTTTCTGCTGCTGTAAATTTGCCCATTGCGGGACAATAAAGGGATTTTATATTCTATAAAAGGGGTAGAAATATATAAGTCAATCCTAATGTATATATAAAAGTATATATGCAAAATCTATTATATTCAACAACAAAAATAATAAGTTAAGCAAATTGTGTAAAACGGTAATAAAAAAATTAAAATCCTATCAGATTTATAGTCCCAACACTGCAGATATATTAGAATCTGTCAGTAAATTACAGCCAACCTCATTTACTCAGTAACAGATTAGATAAACCAAACATTACCCCCACATATCTGACTCAATAACCATTAAAACTATAGTTCATGGAACTATTCAAACTTATTTTTTATTAAACTGAACTTCCAATATTTACCACTGTTAGGCACCAAGTACCTTTTCCTCTGATTACGGAGCAGCCGGCTTACTTGGTCTCCCAATGAATCCTGGGTAAACCAAGGATAGCGAGGATACATCGGAGCCGTCCTTCAAATTGGGCTAAATTGAGTGTCACAGCAAAGGGTCTGAATACTTATGACCATTTGATATTTCAGTTTTTTTTTTAATTTTTATAAATCTGTAAAAAATTATAAATTTTTGTATTTCTGTCAAGATGGGGTGCTGAGTGCTCATTAATCAGATATAAAAGGAACTGTTTTGATTTTAGCAAATGACTGCAATGAAACAAGGAGTGAAAAATTTAAAGGGGTGTGAAAACTTTCCGTACCCACTGTATCTGGCCATTAGTCCTCCTCCTCCTTCTGAGGAAGGGGAGCAATGAAGGGAAGAGGAGCTCCAGTTCTAGATGAGGTGTGTTGGACAGATGAGGATCCAGATGTCGCAGGATGGTTCTGAAAGACTGGGCCTGATAGAATCCCAGTTAGACACCAGATTCTATTCTATTCAGTTTATTTCTATAGTGCCAATTCGCATCATGTCATCTCAAGGCACTTTACAGTTCACTGGATCATCCAGTCAGATTGATTCAAAGTTTTCTATCTAAGGAAAACCAGCTGATTGCATCGACTCATTGACTCTTCAGCAATCCCTCACGCTAAGCATGCTTGTAGCGACAGTGGAGAGGAAAAACTCCCTTTCAACAGGAAGAAACCTCCTGCAGATGTGGATCTCCAGGCCTCCACAGGTCTGATGTTGGGTGGGTTCTGTCCATCATCCTCTCACGCTGATCTCTGTGTGTTTGCAGGTTCTGGCGGACGAGTTCCTGGAAGGATCTCTGTCTTTGGAGTCCTTCTTTGAGCGCTTCCTCCTCCTGCGCTCCCTCGCTCACAAGAGACGGGTGCAGATGGAGAAACTCCAAGAGATCCTGCGACGGAGGGACAAGAGCAATCCCACTGCCATGAGTTCATCAGCAGGCGTCGCCCCTAACCCCGCCGCCACGCCCTCCTCCTGGAACCTGCCCACCACGACGGCCACCGCCACGAATCCACAGCAGCCAAACTCCAACCCTCAGTCCTCCAGCTACCCGAACTCCTCTCAGTCCGCCTCCTCGTCTGCGGTGGGAGCCCCTGGGCTTCCATACAGCCCGTACCCCGCCTCCCCTCCTAACCGTCCCCCTGTGGCGGCGGCGGCGGCGGCAGCAGGGCCGATCCCAAACACTCCTCCATCACAGTTCAGTCCGTACCCGGCTGCAGGCTACTCTGGGCCCAGACCTGCGTTCGGGCCTCCCTCCTCCGTCGCCTGCCCCTACCCGACCCAGCACCCGTTCCCAGCTCCACACCCTGGCTCAGCGTTTGGTCAGTACACCCCCAGCCACCCCCCCAGTGGCCCCGCCCCCTACCCAGCCTCCTACAGCTACGGCGGCTACAGCTACCCAGCCGGGCCGGCGTTTTCCTCTCCTCAGTCTCCACCAGGGAAGCCCATCTACAGGGCGGGCTACGGCGTTCCCCAGCCGTACTCCTGAAACCCCGCCCCCACTGCCACCCCATCCCCCCCGCCCTCCCTGAGGTTTTTTCTTTTCCTCTACGCTGCTTCCTCCACAATCCACTCCAGAGGTCTCTTGCTTTACTTGACTTTGTTGCACTATTTCATTAAATCAGTCTGAAGCATGCCCCCCCCACACTAGTCTCAGGTCGTTTCATTGCTTTGAGGTGTTGAGGCGCTCCTCTCCCTCACCGTCTCCCCCCTCATCCCCCCCTGTTGAAGTGATGTTCTGTCGTAACACTAAGAACAATGTGATCCTCACGACTGTCCGCTCCACCTGGATGTTTCACTTCTGTCACCGAGGAAACTAAAGCAGACGGAGGAGGAACCTGAAGCAAAGCGTCTCTGTTTTCCTTATTTTCTCCATTTCAATGCAGCTCGGAGTCGTCCTGCCGTCTGATTGGCTCCCCAGCAGCAGGCGAAGGCCTTCATGCAATAGCTGGTGTTCAGATGGAGCTTCGTTCTGTTGGTGGAAACCAAAGAAAACTTAGTTAACTTATTTTCCATCAGCTCTGAGCTACAATCCATCTTTGTTTTCTTCTTTTTCTCCACTGAGGGAATCATTCTCTGTCGTTGTTGTGTTTAAGTTAAGCCTCGTTTAAAGCAACCTAAGCTGACCACATTATGGAGGCCTAGATGGAAGCTTCACTGGTCGGAGCTGGTTGGGTTCCTGTGGTCAGACATGGTTCCTGTTAATCTGGAAATGATCAGAACCTATAATCTGTGCATCACACCAACTCTACTGATTTATAGGCAACATCTAAAATCCACTCTGTGTGAGAAAATGAACTGTTTTAGATAAATACCGGGACATCCTGCCTTGGAAGCTCCTACCAGCTCCCAACTGCAGCTGAAGGAGATGCTAGGATGTGGTTCTACGTAGCGCTGAGCTTCACCATTTATTCAGAAACGGGGACGTGTCTCTAAAACTTGGTGCTCTTATCTGTTCGGGTCCATCAGGAACCACTGAACTAAGAAAACTGGAGACATTTCTTTCCAGTGTTGGGAGGGAATTTAGCTCTGAATCTGTTCCAGTGATTCAGCTGATGGTGGTGCTGATGATGGGAGCTGTGGGGGTTCTAAGCTCCTGGGCTGTTTGGATGATCAGGTTCCCTTAGATCCAGCCTGGAGGTCAACCAGAGTAGCGACCTGCAGGAGTCGGGCGCCGCAAGTTGGTCCCAACCAGAGGTTAATGAGGAGTTTAAGTCGTTTGCTCCTAAACTTCTGGTTTGAGCTTTTTTTTTTGTTCTTATTGAAGATCAAGCAAATGAAGAACAGTTTCCTAAAATGAAAAAAAGCTTGAACTGACGGTAGATGTCCGGATCTGAAAACATCCCATAAAACATCAGTAATAAATACAGCATGTGTTCCTGTGTAACACCGTCTATCCAAATAATAGGACTGGAAGGAAAAAGATTAACAATTAAAGCTGAATATGTTTGTTTGGTAAAGATGGCGGCTCCCTGCCCCAGCAGTGGGGGGGGGTGGGGGGGTTGGGGTTGGGGGGCTCTCCTAGTGAATGGACAGTGTGAAGCACTCAGGATGTCCATGTCCTCTAAACAGAACCCTAACAGGTCGGTTTAACATGCTGCAGGTCGGGGTCAAAGGTCAGTGATTTTCCTGGTCGGCTTTTACCAGCGAATGATAATAAGAACTACTTTCCTTTATCATCCAGGTTTAATTGATGTTTTTCTCTCTCAGTAGCTTTCAGCTGCTCTAAACCTGCTGGATGCCTGCTGATCACCACCAATGATCTGCTTCCTCTAAGCAGATGGTTTATGCATCAAACAGGATTGAAGTCAGACTCCTCCTGAAATAGTTTGCTACCATTTCAGACTGAATCACATCTACATTTTCAGCCTTTCATTAAAATACACAGTTTGTTTGCAAATAGGTTTATTTTTAAACAGGTTAGTCATTAAATAAAGGTTTCAGAAGCGTTTGTAAATTGCAGATCTGTGGGTTTCCAGAGCAGCAGTGCTGACTGACGTCACTGATTGGTTTGCGTCGTGATGAGCAGGAAGGTGTGGTCAGACTGGGCTGTGGGATCCTGGAGGGATCCAGGGTCAAAGGTGATGGGTTATCAGTTGATTGGTTTGGTTTCTGATCAGCCCAGCATCAGTGAACAGGAAGCAGTTCTGCTGCTTTCAAGAGGACGTTACTTTGGCCTTCACCAGCTGAACGTTCATCCATCCAACAGGGCGGGCCTAAGGATCATCAGCACTTTTCTGTTTGAACTACATGAACCATGGTGGGGGGGTTAAAGGTCAGCTAAGAGCATCAAAAGCACAGAGAGACCGTGCTGAGAAAGACCGCCCTCCCAGTCCCAGTGGTCATGAAGGGTTAACTCTGATCAAAGCAGCTGCCTGTCCTTTAATATAAGGTTTTTAAGTCGTGATGTTTCACCGAAACGGATCAAACTCAGTTACAACCTGCTGCGGTCCGACATCAATGGCGAGCTGAAAAGATCCCCCATCAAGCAATCAGTGATGGAGGCAGGTGAAGTACGGTTGACCTGCACTCATGCGGATTGCGTCCAGTCTGACCGTTTCCTCCCCAGGCAGAGCGCCATGGTTTCCTCCCCAGGCAGAGCGCCGTGGTTTCCTCTGGGCCTCTTCACCTAGTGGACAGCGGTTTGCTTTCATATCCTCCTGCTGAGCGAAGGTCATCTGCAGGACCAAGTGGGCTGATGGTGATAGTGATTCTAGTGTTTTAGAAGAAGCACAAAAAAATTTATTAGATTGGCTGGAAATTTCTATTATTCTGAGGGTAATGACATCAAGATGGACCTATTTCATCTTCTGATTACAAGAGAAAAATATGTAGATTGTTTAAAATCTTATCTCTTTTTGTTGTGAATAATTAAACATTCATTTGAACTAATTTACTCCTGTCGAGTCGTCATTTTCTTTAATTGAGACGCTTCATTAAAGGAAAAAGGAGAAGCTTTTAGAGGTTGGATAAAAATTAGAGATCGGTATTTTCGAAAGTGCTTCAGGAGAGAAGATCAACTTTTATTTTCCACTTTGACAAAGTCTTAACCCTTTATAGAGCACTCAGTGAAATCCTTTGAAAATCTAAATTTCAAACCAATAGTTTTATTGGAATCCGAGACTTAATTACCTTTGTTATATTCTAAAAATATGGATGTTTTGATGGTAAAAATTGTCAATGTGATAGAAACGCCAACTTCCCCTGATATATTAAGAAAAACAACAAAAGTGATTCTATAAGAAATTTGTGAAAAACGCTCATATTGAAAGAAACACATTTTTTTGGTCCAACATAACCTTAGAGGCATTAATGCTGATACTGGCACTGACATTTTTTAGTTTATAAACATAAATATAATTGTTAACTAGGCTTATTAACTTTATAACTTTTCAATTAGATTTTTATCTTTTTTTCTTGACTTGATAACTTTTTTTTTCTAACTTAATTTCCAGTAGGTAATCTATCATTCAATGGCTCATCTAATTGGTCGAATGCCAAAGATAAGATGTACAGCCATTTAGCAGCATCTTTGCTGAATGGCTGGATATAGATCTTCCATTTCTAAATTGTATGTGCTCAAACAAACATGCAAACAAAGAGCATTTCAGTCAAACATGGGGACCCAAGTCACATGAGGTGGACTTGATTCACACAATTTATGACTTAATATTCAGGCATGAGTGAGTTTTGATTTTCCAAGTCGACAGTTTGACACCAAAAGTCTAGTCGATGCGTCATGCTGTGTTTACATCAGGAAGGTCTAATCCAGCTTTTACTGCAAAGAGAAAAACATGCAGATAATAAAAAAAACATGTTTAATTATTTACTCTGACATGTAATTCATTTTGCTATCAAAAATAAAAACAAACAAAAAATAATTGCAAAGACTTGAAATTTGAACTTTCTGACTTATTTGACTTGAGACTCGACTCAGACTTGAATATAAAGGCTGGAGACTTGGAGAAACAATAACTTGGTTCCACCTCTGATTTCACTAAATGGCTTAAAAGTCTGGATCAAGCCTAAATCAATGGATGAAGCTTTTTCATTCTCAAACTGGTTTTCTTAAAAAGAAATAGGATGTAAAGAAGGCCGGTGAACAGCCATGGGTTCTCTGTGGATGGGATGGCTTGGGTCATGTAGGACAGGTAATAACGGTATGAATGAAGATGTTTGAATATGTGAATGTATGTTTATAAGTATGTCAATTCATTCAATTGCTCCATTTATTGTCTTTGAAGCAATATGGACTCAGAAGCTAAATAGAAATCAGATTCCGGATGTTATGAACAAGGGATACCCCTGGGGTGCGCCAGATGTAAAGATGTATTGACGGTCTAATAATTATTTGGGGGTGAATAAACCCAGTCGGGAACCGGAAGGGGGGTGCAAAGCTAAAAAAAAAGGTTGGGAACCATCCATCCATCCCTCCATCCATCCATCCATCCATTAATTTTCCATCACACTTCATCCTAAGCTGTTCTTATTAAATACAAGTTCCTGTCAACAAAATTATTTACTAAAGTTACAGTTTGAATTGAAGTAGTTTCAAAGTAAATGTTTATTTACACTTCTTTTTTGTCTGAGAAAATTAATCTAACTGTAATTATCAGACTGTCATTGCATTCTGCATCCCTTGCCCCCCCTAGTGGCAGCTCACGAACCAAGCTTTGTGAATCCCAGATCTAAATGGAAGCAAACATCCATCCATCCATTTTCCATCATGCTTATCTTAAGCGGGGTGGTGAGGGGTGCTGTTCCCTATCTCCAGCTGTCTACGGATGAGAGGGGGGGTTCCCCCTGGACAGGTCACCAGTCCATTGCAGGGCAACACAGAGACACACAACGATTCACACACACACTCACACCTAAAGTCAATGTCAAGAAACCAGTTATTTATGTTTTTGGACAGTGGGAGGAAGCCGGAGTACCTGGAGAGAACCTAAGCATGCTTAAGGAGAACATGCAAACTCCATGCAGAAAGATCCTGGACTGGGAATGGAACCTGGAACCTTCTTGCTGCGAGGCAGCAGTGCTACCGACTGCACCACTGAGCAGTCCTAGAAGCAATCAGTCAGGAACATGGGATCCAATCCAGGCTGCTGCTGTTTTCTTTTTAATCTGACTTTGGTTAAGCTGCTTGTTTCTATGCTCCTCTAGTTCAGGGGTTCCCAAAACTTTCACCCACGATCCCCAAAGTAACGGTGCAAGTGACTCGCAACCTCCAAACTGTAAACGTAACACGGCACGCAACCGGGCACGCAATGCGTATCCAAACACGAGCATATTGACAAAATAAGAAACAAAATAACACAACAGCCATAACATTATTCTACACTAATTTACTCATTACTTTAATTTGAACCTAACACCACTGAATGAGATGGATGTGCAATATGTTTGGAGCACAGGAAGTCCAATCTTGGTTTAATGTTGGAGACCGCTACTCAGAGATCTTCTCACATATAAAGCCTTAAATGGCCAAGCTCCATCTGATATCAGAGATCTGATTGTTCCTTATGTTCCTAACAGAGCACTTCGCTCTCAATCTGCAGGTTTACTTTTAAGGCTAGGCTTAAAACTTTCCTTTTTGATAAAGCTTATAGTTAGAGTGGCTCAGGTTATCCTGAGCTATCTCTATAGTTATGCTGCTATATGCTTAGACTGCTGGAGGACATAGGGACCCCTTTTTCATCATTCTGCTTCATTCTCTCTCTCTGCTTTTTCTCATAGTAGCTTCATCTGGTCTGTTCCTGTTTGGCTGTGACTCCATCCTGGAGAGAAATATCAGCTGTACACCTTTATTTGTAGAGGTTGGAGGTCAGCCTGTTTTTCAGTGTAGTCCTGTTTCTCTGACTGTGACTAACTGGATGTGCTCTCTCCATCCTCATACATGGGAGTTGTCTCGGAGCTCGTCTGCCTGGCTGTGCGTTTCCTGGACGGGGCCGCGTGGTTGACAGCTGCCTTTTGTATGTCTGCTTCTGTCTCCTTGAACCCCAGTGGGCCTCAGCAGATGGCCGCTCACACTGAGCCTGGTTCTGCTGGAGGTTTCTTCCTGTTAAAAGGGAGTTTTTCCTCTCCACTGTCGCTACAAGCATGCTTAGTATGAGGGATTACTGAAGAGTCAATGAGTCGATGCAATCAACTGGTTTTCCTTAGATAGAAAACTTTGAATTAATCTGACTGGATGATCTGGTGAACTCCTTGAGATGACATGTGTTGTGAATTGGCGCTATAGAAATAAACTGAATTGAACTGAATTGAAGGTTTTAGGTCATCAGTAACATTATATCAGTATTAAGAAAGGATGTGAGTTTGAATAAATAGGAGGATGAAAAAAAGAAGAGTCCTTTACATCATTCAGTGATTCTATCATCATATCGCTGTGGTGTAGATCTATGTGTGATAGTTCTACACTACATCTGGTTTCCCTCACAGGAACCCAGGATACTGAAAGCAGCTAAAGTTGTGTTTTTCTTCACTACCTTCTCCTATCTCTTCCTGCTTCCTACACGTTCATCGCTCTTTCTCTCTATCTCCACCCCCTTTTTCACCCAGTTTGCTTTGATGAGAGGAAATCTGCTCTTTTGCAAAAGCTGCAGCCGCCATCTGTGGATGAACTTCTTCACGGCATGGAGAAGGTGGTGGTGGGGCTGAGGAGTTTTTGCAGCTCTGCATCATTTCCTTTCTCATCACTTCTGCTGTTGTTGGCGTGTCGACCTGAGCTCAAGCGTCTTTTCTATCCTCCATTTATCCTCTTCATCAGTTTCCCCCCCCTATGATGGAGCTGAGCTTTGTTCTGATCATCGCAGCTTGTTCACTTGTCTCAGCAGGTAAGTTTTTCAGTGTTTGTATGAAAACAGCATTAAAACAGAAAGAAGCAGGCAGTTAGGAGAAAAGGCCTCTGCTCTAAGCTTGGCTGGAATATGGTAACCTACGGAGATCTCCTCATTGGTCAGCTGGTTCAGTGGCTGCTGGCTCAATATGTAAACAGATTTAGGCAAACTTCCTCTAAACTTACACGGGTTTCATGTTGAAGAAAGAATTCCTGATGATGGTTAAGGTACATTTTAATTTAAGTAAAATATTATAACTCCTTAGGAAAACTTCAAGAAGATTTAAGTTATTTAACCAAAAACTAGCAGGCCTTTTAGGTCAAACATTGTAGATATCAGCCCGCTCATTCTGGCATTGGACAGCTTAAGCATCCATTTAATGCTGGATTAAACCAACCCGTCACGCTACTGACACGTTTGCACCTCAAAGTGCTTCTGCTGCAACCTGCAAAACTGTGATGGTATCAGATAGAGAAGGCAGAAAGAAGGAGGAAAACATCTGTTAAGCTCTGAAAAACTGATCTCATGTAAAGTATTAGAACTAGGTGGACAATTTGAAGGATGCTGCTGAAGATTCTCAGCCATCCATGGCATAGTCCTTCCAACGTAAGTTAAAAAGTGGGTTGGTTTTTTTTTTTACTTTTTGGGAACAATTTGAAGGAAAAAAAATGTTTTTGGGACACTTTAAACCAGCAAAAAGCAAAACCTCTCTGAATAAAACAGGGAAAATTGAACAAGTAGGTGTAACAACCATATTTGCTCCAGCTTTAAAACTCAGCATCCTGCGTGAAACTGGACATTTCTCCAAAACAGGGAGGCTGTTAAGAAAACATTTAAATAAGAATCTGCAGGAGGTTCTGCTTGGTTCTGGTTGCTTTCCTTTATTTTTTGCTCATATGATGTTGGAAGCAGGATTATTCTGGAAGCTTTGATGGAAAATATTTCAGACACTAAATAAAAAAACTTTGGACCACAGTTTGAAAAGATAATGTTAAACACCAGCAGCTGGGTTTCCTGTAGAGGTGGAAGCAAAGTTTAACAGTTTGGACCCAAAACCTTTATGTTTCTGCCAGAAAGCTGGAGAGGGATCTTCTTTCCATCATCATATCAGGTCCATTCGATGTGAAAATGACAAAAGAAAATAAGCTTTGTGAAGTAGAAAGAGTCAATATCTAAAAAAAGGTCCAGATGCTGATAGACTAACCATGAGTTTCTAAGGGTGAGCGCCGCGTGGACTGATGTATCCAGGCTGCTGCATCTTTCTCTGAATCTTTACTTGTTTTCAGTTGATTACTACAGGATGCTGGGTTACATTCTCAGTCATCCAGGTCACAGTCATTCCAAAAAAGTAAAAAAAACAATCCACTGGACTTTGTTTCCAAGTTTGAAGACGTTTCGTTTCCTATCCTGGAAGCTTTTTCAATTCAAAATGTCAGAAAAAACGCAACCTTGTTTTTGCTTAGACAGCGTGCAAACTGAAACGGACAAATGGGTTCACCCCTTTAAAATGGGGGTCATTTGGCTTCTTACGTTATCATTTCCCTGTTCATCCAGGCCAACAATTCCCTTTAACGACCCCCCTTTCAGAGACATAGACAGGTATGGGGCATTGCAGGCTAACAAAGAAGCCAAACAAACCCCATTCCAAAGGGGTAGACCTATTTGTCTGTTTACATTAGCATGTTTTCAAAATTAACTTTTTTGGAATTAGTAAAGGATAAATATAAAATTAAATGTACCGGCAAGAAATCTTCAAAAAAGATTCCTCATGGTGTCAATATTTTACTGCATCAGAGCCAGGTGTTTTAAAAGAGGAGCCTGCTGGACTGTTACTAGGCTCAGCAGGTTTTCAGGAATGTTCTTTTGAATAGCTTCAGTGTGTTCGCCTGTAGAGTTCAGGAACACATCGTTTCACAGCAAACAGAACACAAAATAAAAGAAGACTGAACTGCAAAGCATTTAGGGCATTTCAGCAGATTCAGGATGTTATTAGACCAGCAGGCTTCAGGAATCCTAACCATGACTTTATGCAGAGTAAAGCTGGTTATAAAGCCGTGGATTCTGGGCTGGAGACGAGCTGCCATCATTACAAAATGAAACCAAGAGGAGGAATTTCAGCCGTTTTTCTTTCTCTGCCTCGTTTTTCTACCTGTGAGTCTAACAGCAGGACCGGATTCAGTTCAATGAACGAGCTGCAGGTTCTACCAGATCTATGGATGGGAATAAATCATTTTAATGATGATGCATTCATTAAAACGCTCTAAACTAGGGGCCACTGAGGTTTGTTGGAGGGCCCCATAGGTCAGGGGCCCATCAATGAGCAGTCCTGTATTACAGCGCCTAATCTTCATAATCTTCCTTTCAATGCTTGTTTACATGTGTTAACATCCATCATTTTATCATGGTTGCTGTTTTTTCTCTTCTTCTTTCCCTTCTTGTTTCTTGCAGTCATGGATAATAACCTCTAAAAGTTATTTTGTATTTTCTTTTTTGCTTTTTTTCTCTCTCCTTTGTTCTCTTTATAATCCTTCCTTCCCTCCATCCTTCTCTTTCTTCTTTTATTCCTTATCCTTCCTCCCTTTCTGTCTCAGTTTCTATTTAATACGTTTTTTTAAACTTCTCAATTCAATTCAATTCAGTTTATTTCTATAGCGCCAAATTCACAACACATGTCATCTCAAGGCACTTTACAGTTCAACCAGATCATACAGTCAAATTGATACAAAGTTTTCTATCTAATGAAAACCAGTTGATTGCATTGACTCATTGACTCAAATACAATCCCTCACACTAAGCATGCTTCTAATCAAGTTTCATACCTATTTACTAATCAGAACCTTATCCAGCGCTGGGACATCCATTATTATTGCTATGCTGGCAAACAGGACATGAAAAAAAGAACATTCCTTTGCTACTAAGGCTGTTAATTATAGAAAGCATTGATGGATGACAATCATCATGAACTAAAGTGTAGTTGGAGTTTCTCTGTTTTTCCAGAGCAGGGAGGAGTCGATTTTGAACATGGGTTTTACTGAAAAATGAATGAATCAGAATCGAAATAAAAAAGGAGACAGGAAATGTTTGCTCAGTGTCTGTTTGCTCTGTTTCTTATAGGTACGGGTAAAGGTGGCGTTCTGTGGGAGCTTGGATGTTTTCCATGTTAACATTGAGTTCTCGGTTGTTTTATCACAGAGCAGATAGTCGTACATGTTAAACGGGTCTAATCTACCCTGCTGCTTGGTCTACTCTGTTTGCCTCAGTCGAAACCTTTGGTCATGAGAGAAAGTTTCTGGTTGTGACCTTGAACTGGTGGTTAGTTATCATTCAGAAAGACAGACACTCAGACTCAGAGCTCTAACCACCAAAGATAACCTACTTTGACTATCAAGCAGAAAGTCAGAGTAGGTTATCTTCCTTCCGTAATAATTAGCTCATTAACATCTTCCGTTTTCCTCCAATCAGTCGATCACTGACGCTTGAGGTGGATCTGACTGACGTGGGAGTCGGTCATGGCGTCTGGTGGTTCTCTGACCTCACACAGTCTGACCTGCTCTAGTCCCATACTGCCCCTCAAAGGTGTTGGTATGTTTGTGGTTTAGTGTCTATGATGAGGCGTAACCGCCGGAGATAGACCTTGAAGCTCACCCTCTCACCTGGAGCCGGAGTTAAAAACACAGCCTCAAATAAGTGCATTTGTTCTTGGATTGGGGAGGCAAAGGAGACATTTTGCCAATGGAACGAGACAATTTAAGTTTAAAACAAGAAAAAACAATTGCATTGTCTCTTTTCAAGTGCATTTTATCTAAATATCTTATTTTAAGAGTAAAATGCTCATTCCATTGGCAAATTATCTCATTTACCTACTCAAATTAAGAGTAAATACGCTTAATTCAAGAGGTTTTTTTAAACTTATTTCTAGATCGTTTTTCCAGTGGATTGGTTAACAGTGAATAAATAAACCCTGAACCTATTTAACAGCATCTTACTTCTCATCCTAAAATGTTTTCCCTCGTCTCTATAGCAGGCATCCAGTCTGCATCCATCTAAACTCACTTCTGTTTGTAACATCAGAGTATTTACGATGGTAGAGTCAGAAGCTTTTCTTATGTCCATTCAGTATTTTAAACCTTTGTCTTGTTCTGTGTTTTTCATAGATAATGATAACACCACAAATACAACCAGACCGCCCAATAACACTGCCACTGCCTGTCCCTGCAACAATGTGCCTCCAGCTGCTCCTGCCTCCCCCTCCAGCAGACCGGCTCCCCCCCTGGGCATCATAACAGTCAGTTGGACATATATCTGCAGAGGTCATCTGGTCCTTAACATCAACAGCTCTTCCCTGCCTGTCTGCCACCGCAATGCATCCGTATTTAACACGATTCTCGGAAATGTGTGTCAGAACAAAAGAGGCTGTAAAGGTTTGCCTAAGTGGGACAGTAGCTATGAGAGGCAGAAGAAATACTACAACCTCACTGAGGAAGGATCCTTGCTTGTGCTTGCTCAAGAGAGCCCAACTTCCAACTGCAAGGGAGTTGAGATCAGATGTGAAGGTTGGTTCCTTTTGCATAGTATTCACAGTTTGCAGCTAATACAGTTCTATTCAGCAGCTCTGTTAAAGAAAGTAAGCCTCAAGGCTGCATGCAGCAGATGATTTGTTCTACATCTCCAGTTTGTCCAATCATAACTTCAGTTCCATTGTAGAAGCAACAGTTCATTGGAAACAAAACCTGAACTGACCTAAACTGTCTGAATAAAACCAAAAAAGCTAGATACAGTTTCTCCCAGTAGGTTTCTCCCAGACCCTCTGTGAAGTTTGCTTTAACAGCCACAGCCTAACTAAAGCCAACATGGTTTGTTTTTAATGCACATGTTGGTTGAAACTCATTCCTCTGGTACAGATACCATAAAAGGACTTTTTATTTCATTTAGCTGTTTGGATTTAAACTTAACATGATCCTTGTTAGGGCAATGATGCACTGTATGACTACAGAGAATATAAGTGATAAACTCACTAAATTACCTAAAGTTAGGTTGTACAATTAAAAACATAAATACGGTCTTGTTGATGTTTGGCTCCATTTTGCAAAACTGGAACAAATGATAACTTAGAATTAATATTAAGGTTGTATGTTTTCACAAGTCTTATCTCTTGTCTGCGCAAAAACCTGCATTAAATGTCAACATACTGAGATTGAACATTTAATGTTGTTCCCTTGATGCCTGCTGCCTGTGGAGCTGGTTGACCGTTGCCTTTCGTATCTCTGCTTCTTTTTCTATGTCTGCTTCTGTCTCCTTGAACCCCAGTCGGCCTCAGCAGATGGCCGGTCACACTGAGTCTAGTTTTGCCTGTTAAAAGGGAGTTTTTTCCTCTCCACTGTCGCTACAAGCATGCTTAGTGTGAGGGATTGCCTTCGAGTCAATGAGTCGATGCAATTAACTGGTTGTCCTTAGATAGAAAACTTTGAATCAATCTGACTGGATGATCTGTTGAACTGTAAAGTGCCTTGAGATGACATGTGTTGTGAATTGGCAGGAATAAACTGAATTAAATTGAATGGTGTCACTAATTCGACTTATACCTAAATTTAGTCCTAGTATAGGTGCAATATTGAAACCCATAACATCTAGTTGCTTTGAAATCTTATTTACAGTAAAACCACCAATCAAACATTGTTTTAATTAAACTGGTTATAAATTCAGTTCTTCTGCGGTTAAAATCAGAATAATTTCTGTTTGTCTCCAGTTGAGAAGCTCCCTGATTTCGAGGGGCAGCTGTACGCCTACAAGGTGGTGACTGCTCTGCTCAGCATTGTGCTCATCGTCCTGCTGCTGATGCGCTTTACCCGGCCCACCGTCACGGCCCTGCAGAAGAGACGTGAGTACAAAGACATGCACACCTGCACACACACAGTAATACTGCAAAGAACAACTAATCCAGTTTAGAGATAATTCAGGATGTCTGGAACTGTGTTAAATCAATGTTGGTGTTTTCAGTATCAGACAGGAGGCAACATCGCTGGGTGGGACCAACACAGAGCCACAGCGGTGAGTCGCCATCTTTATTTCTGTCATCTATGTTTCTGTATGATTCAAAGTTTGTTTTTTTACCAAAACATTGAGACACGCAGAGCAAAGCTCTCATAGACAGAGGCAGGTATACAGTTTAATGAAAGCTGTTGGGATCCGTTATCATCCATCCTCTGTGCTTTGTGTGCTCTGCTGTGAGTCAGCCTCTTGGAATCAGTTAGGTGTGAGGAAGCCATGACAGTTCAGCTCAAACCAACGCTGGAACCATTGATTGGATAGAGATATTTCCATCTATATGTTAGAGCACACTAAGAACCTGATCCATCTGCTCACTGCTTCACTAAGATCAGAATGATGATTATTTAAAGGTGACCACAACCAAGAGAAAATCAGGTTTTCACCATCAACATGAATATGGATCAGAACCAAAATAGACCTGATTTTTGTTAGAATAGAATAAAATAGAATTGAAAATCCCTTTAGTGTCCCACAATGGGGAAATTCTGGTGTTTACAGCAGCAGAAAGATTATTGCAAATGGTCACACAAATGTGGACCTTAGAAAAATGTATGAGAATAACATAATAGTGAAGACTTCAAATATAAACAATAAAATCCTATACTGTAAAGTATTTCAGCAATATATAACTGTTCACCTGGAGAATAAATAACCAATATTTAGCTATGGACATTTTTACAGTAATGGATATTTGAAAATAGCAGAAACATCAGAGATGAGCAAAATGGCAGCAGGTTATTTAACTGGCTAAGGTAGAAACTGTGCAAAAATCAGCATTAATATAACAACTAACTGAGGTAGAGAGCAATCAACCGGATGGTTCGAGCAGAAACATGTTCTTGAGTTCTTGGAAATGTTCCTGTTAGGGTAACTCTGACTGAGAAGCAACCTTTTCTAGAAGAACACAGGTTGCTTCTCTGCACCTTATTATGCCAACAAATGAATTTCCAGATGCATCAACATTCAGATAGAAAACACATGAAGCTCCTGGTGTTAAGGAAAGCTATAGTTAAGGTCATACTGCTCCTAGCCATGAAACTTTTACTGGATTTAGACATTATTAACAAAAGGAGAAAACATCTGGCTTTATTTCAAGATGCTGAGGGTGATGATATAATGAGGCTGAATAATTTTCACCTAAATCACTTTAAGGAATTGCACTAGTGTCACAACATGTGATATCTCTTACAAAGGGACAATTATGACCCTATTGACTGAGTGATTATTATCATTAAGTGACGTGGACATATAAACTGTATGTCATAGCATTTTTATCATAAGGGGTGTTGTAATGGCCTCAATCTTGGACCAAGTGGATGACAGGGGTCCAAGAATGCAGCCTAGAGGAACCCCATATTTAATGCTGGTTTACAAAGACTTTTAACAATTAAATGGCACAAAATCCTTTCAAAGTAAGATGTGAACCAAACTAGGAAAGTAAAAAACAATCCAATTTTCTCTAAAACCAGCAAAGAAGGTTGAAATGGATCATGACATCTGTCTCCTCACTGCAGATTGTTTTTCTTTTTATGTGCAGCCGGTCAGTCAGAAGATGTTCAAAGGCATCAGTAGGCTGCTGTATGATGCTGAAGATGACTTTGGGGGCCAGTTAACAGCTTGCCTTGAAGGACAGCCTGCATGGTGACAAGATGATCAATAATCAATGTTTCCCATTCTGTCTCTGAACAGTCTCCTACCATAGAGGGAAAAGTGCAGTTAAGAATGAGGACGAAGAGAAGAGATTTTCATACCCAGGTAATCAGATAATATCTTAAAAGGTGCAAACTGAGAGTTTTCCCCGCATGCATCATGTTTTACAGAGTTGGTTATCAGGACTTGTCCATTAGGAGAAAAACTGGTTGTTATTTTTGATTGAATGTTGAAAACCAGAGAATTAAATACAATCTCTAAATTAAATGTTTTTTTTTCTTTTTCTTTTATAACATGCTCATCTGGTGCCCAGCTGGTATAAAATAATCTCTGGATTTCAGGTGTTTCAGATTATGCCCTGATCCAGCCATGTTCCTACTATTTTCATCTTTGTTTTCAGTTTAATATAAGTTTTCATTCAGACCAAGATATTAGATATGGATAAGGCTCCTCTTATAAATTGTAAAACCATAAACACTTCAGAAGTGTTTCATAAGTGTTTATTATGCATTCAGCTAATCATGCATACTGAAAAAGTATGCAAATTATACTCACATGATAGTAATTTAATCAAAAATGTTGAATATAATCAGTGCTACATAAAATATAAAATATATAGTTAAACAGTTTAGGCTCACTGTTTGGCAGGAAACTGGTCTTTTCTGTTGCTTTCTCACTTACTTAATGCACAATAGATATGAAGGAGTTTTAAAATGTAAATAATGATCCACCGTGTATTAGGGAAGCCTGCCAACATTTGCTTTGCTGCTCCAAGCTTTAAGATGCTGAATGAATTAAACAAATTATGCCAAAGCCTACAGTGATGACGAAGTCGTTTTTCCCCTGGATCAACCTGGGGAAACCTTTAGATTAAAGCTTGAACAGTTTAGCAGACTCACATGCAGTTCTTTTGTTTTCAGTATCTGCAGCAGGAAGCAGACCTTACAGACTAGAGTCAAAGCTGTCGTCATGCAGTTGGTAATGTTACTGTAAAGTTTGCCCAGTGATAATGTGTTTTAATATGGTTCCTCTTTGTTTTATGCTTTAACAGCTTTGGAGCGTCTGACAGTCGGTGGCAGCAGCCCTTCATGTAACAGAAACTCCTATAACTTCTAGTCCTCCATCTCCAGATGTGTCTTCTCCTTCATGCAGAACATCTGCTTTCAAATGTGACGCTCTGGATTTTACACACAAACATATTAGAGTGATTAGTCCATCCTAAAGCCTGCAGACTGAGCAGCACTGACACGGACAGATTTCTAATTGTTTGTTTCCTGTAAACTCAGATCAGACTTGTTGTGATAAGGCGCTGTATAAATAAACTGAACTGAATCAAACTGAATCAGTCTGCCCAGTGGAGCAGACTGATTGCGATGTTTTTATTAAAATAAGATGTTAACGTTGTAAATGTTTCCAAATGGATAAAATTAACATTGAAGTATTTGCAAATGTGAAACCTATTAAAAAGGTACGTTTTTAACATTATGAAACCTTTTTGGAATTTTTTTCAATGATTTATCTGAGATGTCTTCTGTATATTAGGACTGAAAAATAAGCAGATTTATTTCTGATAAAGTATATGAATAAATAAGTAAGTTAAATAAGTATAGACACCCTGCGGCTAATGATTTATTTCAGCACTCTGTTGCATTTGGTCAGAGTCTATAAACCTTCGTTATCAAGGCATTGATGTTGGACATTCAAGCTTCCAAATCTCTCAGATTGTGAGGGGATCTGTTTTCCATTAATTTAACTCCACACATTATCTTTAGAGCTGGATTCTGGTTCAGCCGTTCCAAAATGTTAATTTTGTCAGCCCTGGAGTTAATAGTTTCTTAATGCTTTCTAGGACTGATCATCCGCTGGAAAATCTGCTTTCCTTTGTACCTTAGGGACCCATGAATAGTGCTAACAATAGACTTTATTTCAATTTAAAAGCGATACAGGAAAAACAACCTAAGCTCTTTAGTTTCAATACATTTAAATAAATATTGTCACACAGACGTTACCATGTTGTTTACGTAGCAATGCATTCTTACAGCAGCAAAAAGATTATAGCGAAAGTGGTCACACAAATGTGGAGATTATAGTGTATAAAAAATGACAGAATAAGCGGCAGAGTAAAAAAAATAATTAAAATGATGTACTGTACATTGTTTTTACAATATAAATAGTGTGCATCTGGAAAGAATTAATAATCAATAAACAGCTGTGGACATTTTTACAGTAATTTGAAAAATAGCAGCAACATCAGAGGTGTGCAAACAAAATGACAGCAGCATGTTATTTAACTGATAGAAACTGTGCAAAATCATCATGAATGGATCAACTTATTGAGGTTGTTGAGAAGAGTGGTGGTTCTAGAGTCTTCCAGCTGCTGGGAGGAAGGATCTGTGGTAACACTCCCTGGTGCATTTAGGATGCAGCAGTCTGTCACTGAAGGAGCTCTCCAGTTCAGCACCAGCTTTATGCATGGGGTGGGAGACATTATCCAACAGAGATGATCATTTAGTTAGGATCCTTTTGTTTCCCACCTCCTGCACAGAACTGTCCTTCTCGGCTATGATGTATACTAGGTCTGGAAGTGTCAGCTCTGTCCAAAAAATGTAATGAGTAATGTTAAACATATTCATATTCATAAACATATATTCTCAGTCAGTCAGGGTCGAACAGAACACTTTTGATGTCATAACCCCAAGCACAGGCTCCCCCCAGGTTCACCACCAATCACATTGTGAAGTTTTTAGATGACACCACGGTGGTGGGCCTCATTAGTGACGACAACGACCTGGACTACAGAGAGGAGGTGGAGCAGCTGGTGGACTGGTGTCCAGACTGGTGGAGTCTGCAGACTGGATGAAAGTGAGGAAGGTGGTGAGAACAGCAGAGAGGATCATGGGGGCTCCTCTTCCCTCCATTAAAGACATTTCATCCCAGAGCTGCGTATCCCGAGGCCGTAAGATCATCAATGACCCCCCCCCCCCCCCCCCCCCCCACCATGGACTGTTCTTCCTGCTGCCCTCTGGGAAGAGACTTTACAGTGGAGGTCTTCAACAGGGGGTCCGTGACCCGTAGGGAGTTCAAGGAGGTACTGCATGGGGGTTGTAAAAGTTATGGTTGATTAGACTATTTTTTATATTCCCCCCTGCACTTTTTTCCACTAATTGAAATATCTTTAAATCCACATTAACATGAATTCAACAGACTGTAGTAAACAGATAAATGGAGGCAGAAGATGTCTTTCAGTCATAAATGCACACATTCAGCGACACACAGGAGCTCTTTCAATCTGGGCACCATTTCATTCACAACACCTGTCCCATCAATCAGGAATCAGAAATAGTTTAATAATCCCAGGATGAAATTACTTTCATTACATTACTCCATCTGTAAAAGTGACTATAGGATCAGTTTAATATAACACAACTTCATACTATATATATATATATATATATATAATTAGGGAGTCCTCGCTCCATCAGTTTGGGGGTCTTTGGCCTGGAAAACGTTGAAAACCCCTGCATTGCAGCATTCAATGCAGGACCAGCAGATTCTGCAACACATTTTCCCCCCACCGCCATCAGACTGCTGAACTGTTTAAAAAAAAACCTATATCAAGTCACAGACTCTGCATCACACTGATAAAATCAATCCAAAACTCTTCATATTTGCACCATATATATTTGTCTTTGCGCTTTTACACCATGTTTTTTCTCACACACTGTTTACATTTGATCACTGCTGCACTTTATGGAATGGAAATGTTCATTCCACTGCTAAGGTGCTGCTCATTTACTGTCTGAAAGCCGTACAAAAAAAAAAAAATGTGTTTTTTACACACAAAGTTGTCTAAGTCTACATGTTTAAGATGTGTCTCCTCTCTAGCACGTCTGCATCAAATGTTTGCACTCCCTCCTCAGCCGCCACCACAGGCTGCAGGGGCCTGCTAATCCCCAATTTATTTCAGTCAGGTGTGTGGAGGCAGGGGAATATCTGAAACAAGCAGGACAGTGGGTCCTGAGGTCTGAGTTAGAAAAGCACTGCAACAGGGCTGTGAACCCAAGGATGCCTGCTAGTTATTAAAATACTTAAATATTCAATGAATGATGAAAACTTTGTTCAAATGTTCTAAATAAGGAACGTTTAATAATGCTCATAACGTGCTGCACAAGATACCACTTGGAAAACTGTTGCAGTAACAAAGAACTGCAACAATAAGTGAGTCAGTATGCGAGCTGCATACTGACTCAAAGCTGATCGGCTGCAGGCTTCAAATAAAAAAAAAAAAAATTTTTTAAATGATTATATATATATATCTTATCTTTCTCTCTTCTAATCATGCCTCCCCTTTGCTCCCACAGGCTGCCCTCCCTTGGCAAACCTCAGATGATTTTTCTATTAAACCTCTTTCCACTTTCAGTTTTTAATGTAAATAACTGCTGGGTGGGGGGAATGTGGGTGCAACAGGCCAATCACTGAAAACAATAGAAATAAATAAATGTTTGAGTTATTTTAGATTTCAGAAAAGTTCAGAGTTTAAAGCCAAAGTGAAACCAAAAAGCAGCTGGATGTGGTTTATAGTGTGTTTTGACACTGCAGTGGTTTGGTGCAGTATGATTATTTTCCATTCTGTTCTTCTGTTTATGTCTTTCCTCACATGCAGCTTTTTATTTTGCTGAATTGAACACAGATCCTTTCACTGTTTCTTTATGTGCCTGAAATTTAAATGTTTCTCATATTTATTTTGACTATTTTGACTTTAATCGATCTTTATTATCATATATACGTTATTCTTTATTTGCATAACTAAAGCGCTGGTTGACATTTCACTGTGGATCTGATGAAGGATGCAGTAACGAGAAATCATAGTCATTGAATTCAATCATGTTGTTAAATCGCAGGAGATAAAACAACAGATTACAGGAATCTATTAGGCCTAATCTAATCTAATCTAATTAAATTAGGAATATTATATATATTTATACATATATATATATATATATATTTAAAAGGTTGATACAGTTCAGAAAAAAAAAATATTGATATGAAGTAATGTACCTGTCGATCTTTCATGACACGATATTCAAATTCTGTTGGACATTTCTAAAACGACATACCTCCACTTAAACTGTTTTTATGCAGAGCAGAGAGAAACATGTAGCAACATTTACTGTTATATCTCCAACTGGATGATCATGTCACACTGATCCCATCATCTTCCGAAGGTTAGATATAGAGCTCCTCCTGCCGCAAATAAGAATGAGGTGAAAATTACTTTATAGTCACAATAAATTTAAGATATTCAATTCCTCAATAAACTGACACCACATCAGTTATGTGTTAATTAACGTTAATTGATTAGGAACTAGAAAGAGATCAGTGATCATCACTCAAGTAGCATTCTTTTAAATTCCTGCAAGAGTGAGAGCAATCAGAGAGAAAGACATTTGTCCAAAAGAGTGGTTTCATTGTCACCTCAGAAGAAGCCTGCACTATAACCTAACTGTTAACATGGGAGTTGTCTCGGAGCTGGTCTGTCTGGCTGTGTGTTTCCTGGACGGGGCCGCCTGGTTGACAGTTGCCTTTTCTGCTTCTTTTTCTATGTCTGCTTCTGTCTCCTTGAACCCCAGTCGGCCTCAGCAGATGGCCGCTCACACTGAGCCTGGTTCTGCTGGAGGTTTCTTCCTGTTAAAAGGGAGTTTTTCCTCTCCACTGTCGCTACAAGCATGCTTGGTGTGAGGGATTGCATTTGAATCAATGAGTCGATTCAATTAACTGGTTTTCCTTAGATTGAAAACTTTTAAACTTTTAATCAATGTGACTATATGATGGTGAACTGTAAAGTGCCTCGAGGTGACGTGTTGTGAATTGGTGCTCTAGAAATAAACTGAATTGAATTGATTCACTAAACATCTAGCAGAGATACAGAAGCAAAAACATAGAATTAGAGCAGCCATCTGCTGCTCGATGAAGATCATTACTCCATTTATCAGAGTAAGGTCCTGAGGAAGAACATCTGCTCTACAAACACCAAGTCTATCATGTAGATGTAAATGTTTTCAATAAAACATTTTAATATGACAAGAACCCAGAAACTGGGGATAGTGGAAGGAAATGTTCAATTGGGGAAGCAAAGAAATACCGGAAAGTACAAAAAAAAAGATAAATATTATGGGGTGCGCAAATAAAAAAGGTTACATTAACCCCTCTGAACCTCAAACTCCAACAATCAGATTCACAGGCTTTGTAAGGTTAAGCATCCTGCACAAAGACACTTCAGCATGTTTTGGTGGAAGCTGGATTTGGACCTTCAACCCTCTGATTAGCAGACAGCTGAGCCCAGCCTCTGTCTGCTGCATTAACCCACTGTTACCTTCATGGTCTCCTCAGCCGTCCACATCTCAGACGATGAAGCAGTTGCACAGCAAACTGTGCAGCAGTGGCAACTTC